ACTCTTATTTACCGAGTCAATGGTTCTGCGTTCTACAAATGCATTGTACTTTCTTAATCTTTTGGCGGCGATTTTGCGTCACCTGCGGTTGCTTGTCTGGTCTCTCTTCAATCTCTTCGCTTTTTCCAACGGTGCGCATACGCAGCGCAAATCCCTATCACTACAAGCGCGCAAATTTACGCAAATGTATCAGCCTGATCCCAACCGGGATAGACTGAAAAATTATTACTAATTACCTTATTCACAATGTTTTGCTTTTCCATTGTGACGGGCTTTAGTTTACGCTAGGTAGGTGCTTAAAATAGTTTTGCGTATAATCTTGTCTAAGAAGATTATTCGAAATGCTTACGAAAACTACTTCAGCGCGCAAAAAAAGCCCTTTTTGCGGACCTGCATTGCTTATGTACGTGATATGTCACCCGATTTGATCGCCCGATAATTCTTTGACGAACAGCAGACACATAATTGTTCAGAATGCTAAAAAGCCCCCACAGATTTTTTGAGCAAATTCGGGGTTCTGACCCACCTATTCATTAATAAAATCGTGACGACGGATTTTACTGCGGACTTTGCGCCCACAAAAGCATAAAACACTTATACAAGAAGGCAGCACCTCAACGTCCAGCTCAGTCACTTCCAAGGTCTAAATTTAGGTTGTAGAAAGTTCTTTCGCACCAAATTCAAAAATTCATAACTTCTGATTTTCTAATAGATTTGACTGTTTTTATTTTTATATGAAAGAATAAGTCATGCCCTTTGAAGCGACATCTTAGCTGCTTGCTAATGATCATCTGTTGCATAGATAGGAGCGGTAGACGAAAATTAGTCAAAATTCGAATTTTCTGTGTAGGATCCTAGAAAAATCGGGAACTTGCAACAAAAATCGAAGCAGTCGGTATTGTAGGTTCTTTCACCAGCTCTTTCTAACTGTGCAAAGTTTGCGCCGATTGAGCGTCTCTTTGAAAAGTTATGATTTTCGAGCAAACAATACAAAAGGCCGACTTTGATTTATTTTGGCATTTTTCAGGGAAATCATAACTTTTCACAGAGACGCCCAATCAGCTCAAACTTTGCACAATTAGAAAGAGCTGGCGAAATGACCTATAATGCTGATTGCTCCGATTTTTGTTGCAAGTTCCCGATTTTTTATTACCCTAACAGAAAATTCGAATGTCGACTAATTTTCTTCTGCCGCTCCTATCTATGCAACAGATGATCATTGGCAAGCAGCTAAGATGTCGCTTTAAAGGGCATGACTTATTCATTCATATAAAAATATAAGCAGTCAGATCGGTTGGAAAAACCAGAAGTTATGATTTTTTGAATTTGGTGCGAAAGAACTTTCGGTACAACCTAATATCTTACGTAAGCAAAAAAAAACCCGGCTAGAGATGAGAACCAAGAAAACGCGATTTCCGGAAGTGGCTTGCGTGTCGCGAGCGGTCGCGCCATCGTCACGATCTTCCAAATGCCCTATACATTATACCTAATGTAACCTCAGAAAATGGCGTTACTAAAAGACACCGATATTTCTGAACACCGTGCCAAACAACCTTCCGGACAAAGCTCTAACAATACATGATTCTGAGGACTGTTCAATTAATGTATTATTTATTCTCTGACAAAGAAACACAACACTTTGCGTACTTGTGATTAACAAATTCATGAGCGCGTTCCACCTGTTTCGATAAATTACAGTTAGAAATTCATGAGCATGTACGAACTCGTGTTGTTCAACGAGTTCGAACATGTTTTCTTTCACGAACTCCTATGGTATAGCATCTAGAACGCGTTAGAACACACTCATGAATTTGGTAATCGCAAGTACGCAACGCGTGCTCGTGTCTAGTCAGAGAATGAATGCTGTTTAGTTGGTATAGTCGAATCATTTCATATGATCATGTGTGTCCTTGCACACACTATCCATCTTTGGCGTTCCCATCGATCCTTGGAGCAGATAACTCTTTAGGTAAGTTTTTTTCTATGTGTTCTTGATGCTTTTTTCCGTTTTAGGCACTAATCACTTCACACTGATGTGAGCAACAACATTCGGTCAGTTTCTGGCGTTTTTGCATTCGCAAATCGAGAATGAGGACGCCAAAGATGGACGGCATGTGCAGTGCACACATGATCATATGAAATGATTCGACTGTACCTTGACTTTCGGTTTTGGGAGGGAGACGGTCAAGAGGCGCGGTTTCTCTACCTGTCACCAACTCAAAACTTCAATTTAGTGCTATGGGAGTCTTCAAAAAATACCAAACAAAGTGCATTAGTTTACTATCTGTCGACGGTTACCATTTGCTGAATTTGGGGGCTTTTGCTGGAAAACGGACAGAAGTACTCACAAATTCGTTCTTAACTGCATTTTCATGGGTTTCTGACTTTCAAAATTGCTGTCTTGAATTGATTCTAAGATAGCAAGATTGAGGAACCTATGCAACTATCTAATATATCTCATTCTAAAGTTTAAATACTTTTAGAATGTTGTAAAACACTTATGTGCGCTATTTGATGTCCATCTGGCATTAAAAATCGCGCCTCTTGATATACACCCGTTTTGGGAGGGGGGGGGGGGGGAGGGAGTGTGTGATAATACATTCCATAAACATTTGCAACGTGCAAACGAGGTCGGCTGTGCAAGTACACTGTATCATCGTGAAAATTCGCGAGACCGTAGGTTTCCCGCCGCTGCTACTGCAAAACACACAAAACTCGAAACTCGTGCAGATGCTGGAAGTCAGGTGCGGCTGACAATGAGTACTACCGGAAGCCGTTTGCAAGAGATCGTGCACGTCATTAGCGTTAGTATTCCAAGGTATTGAAGATGTCTGCAGCTGTTTGCACGTTGTGCGGCGTGCGGCCGCCCTTGTCGCACCGTATCGATCGCGTCGTTGTCGTACGTCTGGAGCTCTCTGCAGCGCCCGCGCTGCCCAATGCGGTCGGTTGCACCCTCAATGCGCTGTCCCCGGCCGCCCTCGATGTTTTGTGTACAGCCTGGAATATTGGCCACATTTCAGGTTTTAAGCGGTTTACAAAGTGCTTTGCAGTGGGTAAGTCAGGTCATTTCGTTGGCATCGGTAACAGTTACGTTTGAACACATTTGACTTATCTTGGGATTCCTTACCATTTTTTTAACGTTTTGAATTGTTGCTTTCAACAGTTTCCTTTAGTTGCAGTGCAACAAGCGCGGCGAGGATTTTCGTACTCGCTTCCTTCATTCACTTCTATGTCTGAAGTATCGTGGTATCCTTCTCTTTCTGCTTTTATTTGCTTCAAGATAGTTTTCCTCCCTACTAGCTGTCATGACCGGCTCTACTCTATACAGTCAGCTATATTTTAAACTCCCCATTCTATTTCTCTTCTACCTTCTAGGTCTGGCAGTGGGTTCGGAAAACTTATACTGCTACTTTGTCCCCAATTCTATAACAGTCTAGTATATGATGATCATTAAAATCTACAGTTTACCTTGACCAATCTTTGGTGTCATTCTCGGGCAACTCATACCGGGAAGTGCAAGATCGATGAGTCCGCTCATATCAGTTGATATTAATAAACTTCTGTCATTTTCGTAGTCAGCATGTTCACTTCCCCTCTGCAACTCCGCTTCTTGCTCATTATCTGAAGAAAGTGCGATTAAATGGTCAGTATTTCCTTAATCTGTTGATTTATTTTTACCCCCTCCCCCGCCAAATTCGGATCCCAACTTTCTAACCCAAGGTTGCCGAAAAATCAATAAATCGATAGGCGGTAGATGAATCACGACTAAACCTAACCTATCCACTTTTCGCTTGAAATGTATCTTGCAAAATTACAGGCGGACTGGTTCAAAAATATGTAACAATAATACTCACTTACACTTAAACAGACCTGGAACTTCAAGTATGGAAAGTTTGCTTAGACTTCATTTTTTTGAAGAAATTAGCTTCCATAGTTTGCCGTCTCCTGCACAGATGAGTGTTAGAAAAAAATCCTCTCGATGGCTTAGGTGGAATCGTTTATAAGTTATCCAGAGTTGATAGCAAATCTCGAAAAAATAACTCGCTTTACGTGTTTCTGGCTTGATCCTACTGGAAGAGTGTTTTTATTCTTTTTTTGCACGTTCCTTTCTTCATATCAATTCGATGCCCTTCATTGTTCCCATCTACTTCGCATGCATTGAGCGCATTTCTCTGCCGTGCCATTTTTTCCTGCATGAGTCATATCGCCTACTCCGTGTAGGCACACACCTCTACTTTTTAGCTGGTGGTGATTCAAAGTGGAGGCCTAGGTCGTATATTTGCTTGCTTTGCTTTTTTATAACTATATTTGCTTTCAACAAAGCAACGAGTCTTGAGAGGGGCGCGAGAATACACCAAGTGGCGCTCGTTTCATTGAGTAAGGTCGAGGTGGCGTGCACGCATCTGCCAGTAAAGAATCCAATTAGTGCTGTCTTTTTTCTACCATTCTACTCTTCATTTACATGAATTTTCGGTGTGTACCAAGGGGTCTGTAAAAGTTCAGAAATTGGTTTGTTGCAGATAATTTTCATGCCTTCCTAGTTGGAGTTTCTTTCCTCTATTCATTTAGTCATCGAGTAAGTTGCTAAGTTTGCTATCACATGCCGAAAAGCAAACAAAGCGTTTTTCGTACGTGTGCCCGTCAGTTTATGTCTCATCGTGCGTGTGCATGCTCTTGCGAGCACATATCCCGTTCGTCCGTTTGCAGTGTCTAACTTCTAAACAATTAGCTAACTTGTTCATATGTTTGGTGTCTGCCAGCGCAGCACTGCATTACTCCGCTGGATGAAAAACTCCGTTTGTGCTCATCCGTTTCCAACCTCGAACCCATTTTCGCCAGGAACTCGTGCATATTTATGGATCTGTACGATGACTCATCACTTGTTTCCTGCATATGATTTCGTGACTTTCTCTTCTGCAGTTCGTCAGCAATCATTTCGTTCACAGCACATCCTCTCCACTTAAATTACTGAGTCAGAGTGCCAACTGTGTCAGTTTTAGCCATGTCTGACGACGGAGCCCCACCAGAGCCCGTACTAGAAGTTCCACCTCCAGCCGAGATCAAAATTCTAGAGACTGCGGAGGATATTCAGGTCTGAATTATGCGCTTTTTGAAATTTTTTTGCTTTATCTCCACTTTCTTATGCACATTAGCGGCCAGCTTCCATTACGAAAGTATTCTATCTGGCCGGCCAATTGAAGAGCAGGCCGAGTGTCGCCGCCGTTATTCTGGCGATATCGATTTTGTGTCCAAGTTTGGGAGGCTAGTTCTCATCGGAGACTCAGGCCACTATTCATCGAGTCATACGAAAAACGATAGCAGATTGGGAACTGAAAGGCTTGTTAAAAATAGTCTGTTTTAGCACCGCCGTCAAGAAGTACTTGGCCATTACGCCCAGTTCAAGGAGCATGCCAAGAGTAAGAGGGACCGCCTAGAAGAGGCGCGACAGTATCAGTACTTCAAGCGGTAGGTTACTACAACAACTGCGTTTTCTAGTTTCCTTCATTCTAAGAAGGTCAAATGAATGTTATTATATACTTTGGTCTCATATATGTACCGTTCATATGAAATGAGGTAATACTGAGGCAGACCTTAATTCTCTAATTCTCGTTGGTATTTTTTGTTTTTTTCTTCACTTTTACACTCTTTGGCATCCAAGCAGTGATAATAGTAATACCGTTAACTAGTTGTAACTGAGCTTTCTGTTTCCTCCAAATTCGTACATTTCTTTGTTGATGTGTAGTTAATCATTTAGCTTATCATTCTCAGCTTACTTGTTCAGGGATGCTGACGAACTTGAGATCTGGATTCTCGAAAAATTGCAGACGGCTCAAGAGGAGTCCTTCAAGGATCCTACAAACCTTCAGGTTAGAACTACGCACTATTTTTTGTACAGTGGCCGCGCGTCGATAGAGTTTCCGGGGCGATCGCGGAGGGATCGGGAGAGTACGAGGTCAATGCCGTTTATTGAGTTGATCAGGGGATTGGGGAGATTTTATCTCACAGAATTCCGTCGCGAGACTATTCAAAAACACCTTTTGAAAATAAGCATTTGAGGAATATATTGACTTGTGCTTATTATGTATTATATCAGCTGCCAGCTATGCAGCCATTAGTTTATGCATATTTTTTTCCACTGAGTCTGTTTTTTATTCATGTTTAAATTCTCGATCTCGATTGATGCACTTACTCCACGTTTTGCTCCTTGAATGTTTTTTTAGTCGCGCTGGGCTTTCGGAAACGACGCATCTTCGCATACATGCCGAGCGGCACCCATATGGCAACTCGGGGGCATTACTCATCTTGGCTGTGCAGCCGACTTTCATTATAGGCTATCTCAGATTGCTCACCGAAGGCGGTGAATTGGCTGTCTTCCCAGTGGTTGTGGTTGCCTTCACAAATGTGCGCATACGATGAAATCTTCTCGTAGGCGACAGATAACAACGCATTCCGATCATTTTCGCTTGGCGTCGCCGAAAGTCTCCTTGCAGAGTCACTTCCTAGAAATGCATGGATCAGGGAACGCCAGTGGGATCTTAGGCATCTATAGTATGTTGCGCAGACCTGGCTTACAATCGCGAGCAGTCACACTTAGCGAACCTTCATGTTCGCTTTTTAGTTAAAAGCTGGGTAGTCTGTTTTAAAGTGCTCTAGTTTAGGTCTGAATCGGATTGATGTATTTAATACTTTACGAATATAATCGTATTAGTGTACCTTTGGACTACCAACGAATTCAAAAAAATCCATCCTTTTCCTTCTCTTATCTCGCCAAGAACATGCCACTGTGCATTAGTACGTGCTTGATAATCATAGATCAATGACTTGTTTTTGCCTTTGAAGGCTTTAGGGCTTGCTCAAGATTTGTTGTAACAGAAAATCCAGAGGTGTTCGAAACTAAGCAATAATACTTATTGTACGCTGTTTTTTATGCGGTCCCAACTGTGTTGAAGTGAGAGGTACTTAGGGAAAGAAGCTAGTTTTCACTCGTGAATGGAGGGAGGTGTGTCGTGCGTATATCGTTAGATCTTCTTTGAGCGACGAATATTTGCAGGCTAAAATCCAGAAGCATGAAGCGTTTGAGGCAGAAGTCCAAGCTCACGCTAAAACCATCAGTAATTTGGACAAGACCGGGAACGGAATGATCCAACATGGGCACTTTGCTAGTGAAGTGATAAAGGTGCTCACATAGGGTTTCTGTTTATTCCGAACAACATTTTCACTTTATTTCAGAAGCGCCTCGAAGAACTTCATGCACTTTGGGACAAGCTCTTCTTCAAACTCAAAGATAAGGGTATTAAGCTGCAACAGGCGCTGAAATTGCTACAGTTCATTCGACAATGCGATGAAGTGCTTTACTGGATTAGGGACAAAGTGAGTGCTTACGGAAAACTTCTCATATTTTGGTCTGAGATATCGTGATTGCAGGAAGCATACGTAACGGCTGAAGACATGGGCATGGATCTGGAGCATGTCGAGGTGCTTCAACGTAAATTTGAAGATTTTCTGAAAGAGCTTGGAAATCATCATTATCGTATAAACGAGATCAATCAAGCAGCTGACAAATTAGTTGAAGACGGACATACCGAGCATGATCAAATCTACAAGGTTCACTTCGATTCCTCCGTTAAAGACGCTCAAAAAAAATGCTTTTATAGAAACGAGACGAAGTAAATGAGGCTTGGCATCGCCTCAACACATTAGCGGCCACTAGAAAGGAATCCCTCTTTGGAGCGCACCAGGTTCAGCGTTTCAACCGAGACGCAGATGAGACATTGGCTTGGATTGCTGAGAAGGTATGTGATATAATTCGCTGACTTCTTTTGCAAAGCGAGTCAGCTTTCTGGGCTGACCGTTCCTATTGTGGCTGATCGGCAAATTTACAGGACGCTGCCCTTTCAAGTGACGATTACGGTCGCGATCTAAATAATGTGCAGGCTTTGCAAAGAAAGCACGAAGGCACAGAAAGAGATCTGGCTGCTTTGGAGGGCAAGATGCAACAGTTGGAGAAGGTATTTTTGCATTTTATTCATCAAATATCTCTGAGGAGAAAGAGTTTTATAGGAGTCTGCACGCCTATCCGAAACCCATCCTGATCGTGCAGATGCTATCGAAGCCAAAATGCGTGAAGCCAAGGGACAATGGAACGCTCTAAAAAGAAAGGCTCAGGCGAGAAAGGAGGGATTGGACCGTAGCTTGCAGCTGCATCGTTTCCTTGCTGACTACAGGGATCTTTGTTCTTGGATTAATGACATGAAAGCTGTTATATCCGCTGATGAGTTGGCGAAAGATGTTGCCGGTGCAGAAGCGCTACTCGAAAGTCATCAGGAACACAAAGGAGAAATAGATGCCAGGGAAGACAGTTTCAATCAAACTGCTGTATCTGGACAAGGCCTTCTGGACATGGGTATCCCAGAGAGCGATGAGGTGAGAATACCAAATATTAAGCTGTTCCATCTATTGATCCATATCAGGTCCGTCAAAAATTGGAACATCTTGCTTACGAAAAAGCAGCTCTCCTTGCTCTGTGGGAGGAACGTCGTATCCTCTATGAACAGTGCATGGATCTACAGCTATTCTATCGTGATACGGAGCAAGCTGAGACGTGGATGAACAAGCAGGTGCGTTGAGATAGGGTACTTCTTTGAGATACGAAAGTTATTTCAAATTACGTTCCTTTTCTAATTATAGGAGGCATTCCTAGCTAATCAAGATCTTGGTGATTCTCTTGATGCCGTCGAATCGTTGATCAAGAAGCATCAGGACTTCGAAAAATCTTTAGCTGCACAGGAGGAGAAAATTAATGCTTTGGATGAATTCGCAACAAAGTTGATCCAGGTAAGCATCAAGAGATCATGAAATTACGGTATGCGATCCACATTTTGAACATCAACTTTTCAGGGACAACATTATGCTGCGGACGATGTGTCCAGAAGACGCCATGCCCTTCTGGATCGTCGCCGGCGACTAATGGACCGCGCAGCTGATCGCGCGCGTCAACTGCACGAAAACTACAAAAAGCAGACATTCAATCGGTGAGTATACATGTAGGAAAAACTTGCACAATACCATGAATATTTGTGCATCTAGTGATTGTGATGAAATGGAAAGCTGGATCAAGGAGAAGCTGAAGACAGCTAAAGACGATTCATACCTTGACCCGACAAACATTCGTGGAAAGCTTCAGAAGCATACCAACTTCGAGCAGGAACTCAAGGCTAACCGCAACCGTTTGGACGAAATCAACGATACCGGTGCACAAATTATCGAAAGTGGTCATCCCGAAGCCGACGATGTGCGCCGTCGCCTTCAAGACGTAGACGAACTGTGGAATGAGCTCGTTGATGCTACCAACAAGAAAGGAGCGAAACTTCGTGAAGCCGGTGACGAACAGCAGTTCAACCGCAATATCGAGGATGTGGAGCTTTGGCTTAGCGAACTTGAAGGCCAAGTTGCATCCGAAGATTATGGAAAGGACCTTGTTTCTGTGCAGAATTTGCAAAAGAAGATCGCACTGCTTGAGAGTGACTATTTGGCTCATCAGGATCGCATAGATGGTATCAAAGGATTGGTAAGCGTTTAAGTGATAAGGCCTTTATATCCAATTACAACTCTTATCAATTACCAATTTAGGCGAAAAAGTTTGCTGACGATGAGCATTTTAATGCACCTGTCATCCTTCGCAAACAAGAAGCACTACAAACGAGATTCCAGGTTAGGAGCTTTCACATTTGTCGATTTTTATCTCACAAACGAATTCAGAATCTTCGCGATCCACTGGAAAAGCGTAAGAACAAGCTAGCTGAATCTCTGCAGGGAAATCAGCTCTTTAGGGATATCGAGGACGAACTTGCATGGATTAGGGAGAAAGAACAGGTGCTCTTACTGACATTTTGATAATGGCGCTGTTGCAAAAAGGTAGTGTCGCTACAGGTGGCTGGCTCGACTAATCGAGGTCGTGACCTTATTGGAGTCCAAAACCTCATAAAGAAGCAGCAAGCGTTGATCGCCGAAATCGCCAATCATGAAAGCCAAATTGATTCTGTATGCAAGGCAGCGGAGGACATGATACAGCAGGTAATTTCTGCATATTCTTGTCATTTGCCTGCTTATATATAACTTTCAGGGCCATTTCCTTGCCCCTGAGATCCGCGACAAACTTGCGCAACTTCGCGACAACTGGAGAATTCTAAAAACGAAGGCGGAGAAACGCCGCCTAGAACTTGATGACTCGCTCCAAGCCCATCAGTACCTTGCTGATGCTAACGAAGCTGAATCTTGGATGGCCGAGAAGGAGCCTGTCGTCGGTTCCACTGATTATGGAAAAGATGAAGATTCAGCGGAAGCTCTTCTCAAGAAACATCGTGCTCTCATGTCGGATCTCGATGCTTTCAAAGGAACTATCGATGATTTGAGAAAGCAAGCTGCTCAGTGCAAGTATCAGGAGCAGCCTGTAGGACAGCTAGGTAGGAGTGTAGTCGTAGACGTGGAGTGACGATTGATGCGTTTGCGATGTTCAAAGTTTTCTTTTTAGGTCGAGATTGTGTGTTGGCTTTGTATGACTACCAGGAAAAGTCGCCAAGAGAAGTGTCCATGAAGAAAGGAGATGTGCTGACATTGCTGAATGCTTCAAACAAGGATTGGTGGAAGGTACTGCACACTAGTAATCTTCATTTGCATATTTATACCATTTTTCACCATTAATAATGTTGTGAACTTGTAGGTTGAAGTGAACGACCGTCAGGGTTTCGTTCCAGCCGCTTACGTAAAGCGTATCGAGCCTGGTACTGCGCATCAGCACAGCCAGCAGCAGGCAAGTACTTGCTCATTTGGAAGCCTTTCTGAAAGTGTAGTGTTGTAGGTCAATTCCATTGGTGGCAAACAGAACGAGATCGAAGACAAGTACCAGCGACTGATGATGCTTGGTGAAACCCGTAAAAGGTAATTTGATATGCCTTTTTGACAACGATATATGAATTGCCTGTCCAGGAAGCTTGAAGAAGCTTGCAAAGGCTATCAACTTCTCAGAGAAGCCAATGATCTGGCGGAATGGATCAAGAGCCGGGTAGGCCTTTTACTTACTGTCAATTTGCCTCACCTGCGGTTTTTATTAGGGATAGATCGACTGTTTGTCATGAGAATGACCGCATGTTAGTTGAGTCTCTTCGGTTTGGTTGAGGAGATCGCACCTATAGAGGCGGTGTTTGGTCTTCTCTGTCATAATCTTGTAACACTTGACGTTTCGCACCTTTGCCATTGAGTTATCATTTTGTTTTCCATGGTGTTCAGACCTATATGGCGGAAGTAAGTTTATCATACTATTCTTTTCTGTGTTGTCAAAGAACAAATGCTTCTACTCGATCTTACATATCTGAATGGTACAAAAACGTATCAAACATTTAACTGGCTTCAAACTTTTTTGTTTGCTCCTGTCACACTCAGTGTTGCATTGTGAACGTACCTACTTGGAGGCAGTGTTAGATTTGCAGCTATTAAATGTAGTAACATGTACTGTACTAATCGTGTTGTGAGCTAAGTGTGAGTCTTTTCCTGGAAGAGTTAGTTCCAAGCAATTTTATCCTAACCTCTCGGGCGCTGGTCGTCTGTCTGCTGAGATTGAGACCATGCCGTTGTTTCGAGCAGCTGTGCATATTTTGATCTTTGCAGGAAGCCGTCGCTGCACAGCAGGAGATTGGAACAGATCTTGAACAAGTTGAAGTCCTGCAGAAGAAGTTTGATGATTTCAAAGGCGACCTCAAAGCCAATGAAGTCCGTCTACAGGAGATGAACCAGATCGGTAAGTGAGAAAATCCTACAGAATTCGCTTACATACAGCTGCCTCTGTTCTATAATCATCGATATACCTTAACTTCATGTCATTCTTTTGTGAGGTTTTCTATGATCGCTTTTCTAGCTACTGCTTTGACTTCTGTTGGACAAACCGAAACAGCCGTACGTATCCGCCAACAAATTGAGGACCTCAATGCTAGGTACAGTCTTTATTGCATCCGCCTCTGCTTATATCTTTAATTGTAAGATGGCGCGCACTGGAGGAGCAGACCGAACAACGCGAGCAGCAGCTCGGTTCCGCCCATGAGGTTCAGCGCTTCCATCGCGACGTGGACGAGACCAGAGACTGGATCCAAGAAAAAGACGATGCACTGGATTCAGATGACTTCGGCCGTGACTTGCGTTCTGTACAAGCTTTGCAGAGGAAGCATGAAGGCGTCGAGAGAGATTTGGCCGCTCTTGGAGACAAAATCAAGAGTCTTGACGAGAAGGTAAAGCTTTGCAGGCAATTGATTTTTAATGTGCAAACTGTCCTTTTTAGGCAAATCGTCTTCGTCAAAGTCATCCAGAAGCCGCCGAGCAGATCTACGATCTACAGCGTGAACTCAATGAGCAGTGGAATAGACTCACTGCTAAAGCGAACAATCGCAAAGAGAAACTTCTCGACTCTTACGATTACCAGCGATTCCTGTCCGACTATCGCGATCTCATGCAATGGATCTCAGCTATGAATCAGCTTGTCAGCAGCCAGGAGCTCGCCAATGATGTGACCGGTAAGCATCTGTTTTCCTGATGCAGCAGTTGCAGCAATCAGAGTATTTGTTCACTCGTCCAAGTTATGACTTGTAGGTGCTGAAGCACTTCTTGAAAGACATCAGGAGTATCGCACGGAAATCGACTCTCGTGCAGCAACTTTCCATGCTTTTGAACAGTTCGGAAATCAGTTGTTAAACAACAACCATTACGCCAGCGAGGATATTGCCAAGCGCTTGAGCGACGTAAGCATCACTGTGTTTTTCTACTTTTTCCCTCTGGATTTGCAATTTTAGGTGAATGCTGCACGACAAGGTCTCGAAGACGCCTGGGTTGCCAGACGCAATGTGCTTGATCAGTGCCTCGAACTGCAGTTGTTCTACAGAGATTGTGAACAGGTAAGGTTCAAAGCACGTGTATTACTACTCATATGACTACTTTGCTGACTATATTCTTACACATCTCATTTTTTAGGCGGATACCTGGATGTCAGCTCGTGAAAACTTCCTTGCCCAGGAAGACCCAACCGGGGATAATGTGGAGTCTCTTATCAAAAAACATGAAGATTTTGATAAGGCCATAAATAGTCAGCAGGAGAAGATTGCTGGATTGCAGGTACGAATGGGTGATCGTACGTTTTCGATCACATCTCACATGCGCATTTTCAGCAATTTGCCAACCAGCTCATCAACAGTAACCACTACGATAAGGATGCAGTTGCTCGCAAACGTGACATGATCTTGGACAGGTGAGGAATAATTCCGCCATGGTTGTTTTCTGCTAGTATGAAGTTTTGCAGATGGGAACGTCTCAAGTCCGCTCTCATTGAAAAGAGAAGCAAGCTTGGCGAAAGTCAAACATTGCAGCAGTTCAGTCGCGATGCTGATGAAATCGAGAACTGGATAGCAGAAAAGTTCCAGGTAAGTACTTCTGCATCAAATCACTCTAACACGCGCTAATTTGATTGTTTAGGTGGCACAAGAGGAGAATTACCGAGATCCTACAAACATTCAACAGAAGCATCAAAAGCAACAAGCTTTCGAAGCAGAGTTGGCAGCCAATGCTGACCGTATTGCCACCTTAATTACTGCTGGACAAAACCTCATCGATGGTGCGAAGTGTGCTGGAGGCGAAGATGCTGTCAGTGCACGCCTGAAGGCATTGAACGATCAGTGGGAGCTGCTTGTGAAAACTACCACTGAAAAGAGCTACAGGTGCTGTACAGAAAATTCTCAGTGAACATTGATGCTCATGCCAGTCAATTTGTAGGCTCAAGGAAGCTAATAAGCAAAAAAGCTTTATGGCAGCAGTCAAGGATTTGGAGTTCTGGCTTGGTGAAGTAGAAATCCTTCTGCAATCCGATGACTACGGAAAGGTCAGAATGCAGTTTTTGAGACCTGTGATACTCATGACAATTTTATAGGATCTGGCTTCCATTGAGAATCTGCTGAAGAAGCACCAGTTGTTGGAAGCCGATATCATGGCCCATCAGGATCGCGTACAGGAAATGAATCAGCAAGCAGATTCGCTTCTAGAGAGGGATCAGTTCGCTGGACAACAAATAGCTGAGCGTCGCAAGGTTGGACTGGTGATGCCTCTTACTTAGTAAGCTCAAGTGGTGTTTGTTTGAGGTCATTGCTGACCGCTATGAGCGAGTCAAGGACATGGCTAATGATCGCCGCGATAAGCTGAACAAGGCTTTGAACGTCCATCAGTTCTTCCGTGACATCGACGACGAGGAGTCCTGGATCAAGTACGTGATATGTTTTTGCAGCATTTTATGTTTGGGTAGTAATTAGCACTTCTCTGCTACTTGTATCGAAGATCATAATAGGGAAAAGAAACTCCTCGTGTCATCTGATGACTATGGTCGCGATCTCCCTGGAGTACAGAATCTTCGACGAAAGCATCGCCGTCTTGATACCGAGTTAGCTAGCCACGAACCCCTCGTACGTTATATCTGGCGCTCATAGCCCTATCAAATATTTTGACATAAAATCTCTAGGTATCCCAAGTCCGTCAGAAAGGTGAAGAGTTGTTGAGATCGACAGGCATTGCTGGTGAAGAGATCCAAAGAAGAATGGCTGAGTTAGAGCGTAGCTGGGGTCAAATTCGAGACCTGACTGGAAGCCGGTAGGGGACATGCTCATCTCGAGTGTAGACTATTTCGTGTCTCTTTTAGCCATCAAAAGTTGAACGAGTCTGAAGACTTCCAAGAGTTCCTTGGTAAGATTGAAGAAGAGGAAGCATGGATGAATGAGAAACAGCAAATCCTTGGTGCGTTAGCTGATTATCAGCTTGAAAATCAATTTTTTCATCTTGCAATTCTCTTAGGATCCGATAATTACGGTGATAATATGGCTGGTGTGCAAGGACTTCTGAAAAAGCACGACACCTTTGAAGTTGACCTTCAACTCCACAAACAACGCGTTGATGATCTGATTCGTCAGGGGCAATTAGTTAGTTCATCGTTTTTGAATTTGTTATTTTTTCAAACTCTGCTGTTTCAGCTCATTGACTCCGGCAATCATCATGGCCCGCGAATCAAGGACCGTTGCGATCAGCTTTTGAACCGTTTGCGTGATATCCAGGACATGGCAGCTCGCCGTCTCCAGAAACTTCGCGATAATTCCGCTTATCTGCAGTTCATGTGGAAATGCGATGTTGTTGAGAGCTGGATTGGTGAGTATGGCGATAATTCAGTAAACAATTTCCAACAACATCTGTTTAGCCGAGAAAGAGCAGCAAGTCCGATCCGATGATTATGGTAGAGACCTCTCATCTGTGCAGATTCTTCTTACCAAGCAAGAGGCTTTCGATGCTGGCCTGAATGCTTTCGAGCATGAAGGAATACAGAGGTACGTCGGCTCACGTCCCCGTTGTCATGAACTACGAGAACTTTTCAATATCCAGGATTACGGAGCTGAAGGACCAGCTAGTTAGCAGTAATCATCACCAATCACCAGCCATCCAGAAGCGTCATGCGAATGTGATAACTCGATGGCAGCAACTTCTTGCTCATTCGGAAGGACGACGTCAGAAACTTCTCAAGATGCAGGAGCAGTACAAACAAATCGAGGTGAAGACTCCCCTCGCCGCTTTCTATGTTTGTACAACGATACAATCTAGGAGTTATACTTGGCATTCGCCAAGAAAGCTTCCACATTCAACTCGTGGTTTGAAAATGCTGAAGAGGATTTGACAGATCCCGTTAGGTGCAATTCTTTGGAGGAGATTCGGGCACTTCGGGAAGCTCATGCTGAATTCCAGGTTAGTTCTCAGCATTCGATTGCGACGACTATTCCATTCTTCTTCTTTGCAGCGTTCGCTGAGTTCTGCCGAGGAGGATTTCCGACAACTGCAAGCTTTAGATAGGCAAATCAAATCGTTCAATGTGGGACCCAATCCGTACACGTGGTTCACTATGGATGCTCTTGAAGACACATGGCGTAATCTTCAAAGAATCATCAAAGTAAATACTCATTTCTTTCCTTTCCGATATGTGCATCAATCCAACATTTGTAGGACCGCGAAGTAGAGCTACAAAAGGAGAATGCTCGTCAAGAAGAGAACGACCGATTGCGACGAGACTTCGCTAAGCTTGCCAACGTGTTCCACAACTGGCTGACACAAACCCGACAGGTTAGGGAATGTTATATGTATTGTTGCTGTGTACTTGTTTGTATGAACGTAGCTTCACTGATAGGTACCCACAACCGAGACTCATGATTTAGGAGATGATGGAAGCTAGCGGTTCGCTTGAGGAGCAATTGGAAGTTCTAAAACGGAAAGCCGGTGAAATTCGAGCGAACAAGACGCAACTGCGTAAGATTGAGGAGCAAGGCGCGTTGCTCGAAAGAAATCTGATTCTTGACAACAGGTGGGCGGAGCTGTCCTTTTTGTTTATCCCATAGCTGCCAAATCCATAGCGCCCTTCCCTCTCTGCCCTCTCTTTCGGAGTTATCCCAATGTGTTCAGGTATACCGAGCACTCAACCGTAGGGTTAGCTCAAGCTTGGGATCAATTGGATCACTTGGCAATGAGAATGCAACACAATTTGGAGCAACAGATACAAGCCAGAAACCAATCCGGAGTAACGGAAGAAGCGCTGCGCGAGTTCTCGATGATGTTCAAGCACTTTGACAAAGTGAGCAATCTTGCTGAATCAAAGACATAATCTGCACTTTTCTTTTTCAGGAGAAATGCGGACGTTTGGATCATCAACAATTCAAGAGCTGTCTTCGAGCGCTCGGCTACGATCTTCCGATGGTGGATGAGGGCCAGCCGGAGCCAGAATTCAACCGTATCCTGGATATTGTTGATCCGAATCGTGATGGTTACGTAACGCTGCAAGATTATATGGCATTCATGATCAGCAAGGAAACCGAAAATATCCAATCATCCGAGGAGATCGAGATGGCATTCCGTGCATTATCCAAAGAATTCCGTCCCTATGTTACTGCCGAAGAGCTTTACGCGGTGAGGGCTTTTTCCTCGGTTTGGTCAATTTTCTGTGATATGCCATTGATCAGAAGTCTTGAGTTTGAAATTTCAGAATCTCACCACGGAGCAAGCCGAGTATTGTATCAAGAGGATGAAACCCTACATGGATGCGATTTCCGGTCGCTCCATCCAGGGTGGACTTGACTACGAACAATTCGTGCATGCGCTATTCCAGAGCTAGACGCAATCGTTGCAGTTCACTGTTTGTTATACATCCGTACAGTTGTACAATGTTGTTTGCTGTTTCGCTGCTTCCAAACTTCCGCCCAGCCCGTATCAGGCAGGCAGCTTTGCTACGTTATGTGTATGTAAAGGCAATGACTCTTCCCCTTCTTTAAAATTTTATGCGATCTTTCTGCGGATATTTATGAAGACAGCGTGATGTGATGTGTTAGATTTTAATAAATGCTATTTCCGGACACCCACACAGAACTTGAGAACCAGTGATGTCCTTATGTACTGGTCGGGAAGTGCATATTCAATCAGTTGTTGTGACATTTTGTCATTCCAATCTTCGCGAAATTCGATTTGACATTCTACAACAATGACTTGTACCAAACTGCCAACTCCTTGAACAACGACTTTCGTAAGCTGGCATTTCATAATTATTGAGGCGAACATTCTGATATGTGATACAACTGCGAGCAGCAAGCGATCCTCAGAAGAATTAAATGCAATAAATATGCTTTCTTAACCATTTAGAATATAAAGCATCTTGCATTAAGTCGCAACTTCTGTAGCGCTGACATCAATCCTCGCTCGCAAATATAGGCCGTTCGCATTCTGCGCCGAATGCAATACTGTTGTGTCCGTCCAAAATAATTTGACTGGAAGGGTGGAGGAAGAGAGCCCCTAGTGCACGAGAGAAGAGGAGTCACCCGCGCTCGCAGCCGCGCCGCTGACGGTCCTTTAGTGCAGTGAGATAGGCGTCAAGCAGCGACGCGGACGCGCTGCTCCACGTGAGATGTTTCGTTTATTCCGGGTTGAAACAACATTGCTCCGCAAGTGCATTCGCTGGCGCATGCTACACCAAGACCCTTTGAGCAATACAGGTGTATTAAGAACTTGCATTACCCGCTCCTTTCACTATATGTGGACAAGGATGTCTTTTTAATACCACGGCAGAGAGAACTACATAATAAGACCATTAGGATTCATGAAGAAAAATTAGCAGAAAGCATAAGTGGTTCAAAGCATTCTGAAATGAGGGAACGAGTTTTTTTCTCACTTCTAACAAGGAGATGAGGAGAAGGAAAGAAGAAAGAAGGAACAAAACATCTTATACAGAAAAAGCACATGTCGTGGGGTGTTGTGCAGTGTGCATCCGCACATGCTATATGGTGCAACCAGCGGTGCGGTCGCCTAATTTCGGCCATGCTTCAGATGGTAAGGCACGCGACATGCTTGATCCGCTTGCTTCATCCACTTCGCTATTGGTCAAATCGGCAAACGGACCAATGGCGAAGTGGATGAAGCGGATCGAGCGGATCAAGCACGGCGTGTGCCCAAGAAAGGATACGCGGGGGCATTGGCTTTGAGTCCCCATATTTGCGCGAGCATAGATTTGGATTTGAGGGGGTGAGGCATTAGAGGAACTTCGAACAAGTGGAACAATACATCACATGTATATTCTACAATTCCTTGCGGTCAAGCTGATGCAAAGCAGACATACAGTCTGCTCCAATCGGGATCGAGCCGAACCGTCGGCTCAATTTGCGCGCTCGCAGCGCCAAAGGTTTGCGCTGCATACGCGCGCTGTCGCAGAGAGCGAAGTTATTGGGGAGCGAGCAGCCTGGCTAGCCGTAGACGTTAAGCAATACCCATTCGACACGAACTCCCGCCACGCCAGTTTTGGCATGTTTGGGGTAGGGGCAAACGTGACTGCCTTTTCAACTACCTTAATTTCACGAGTATATGACGCGAGGGGTTTTTTTCTAAAATCGAACAGCACAGGCACGCCGAAGGACTTCGCGACCAAAAAACTATATACAGTGCTGCATTTTGCCTGAGAGTATCGTGCGGCAGAATCGTTTTCCGAAATAGAGCAAGGCGGCTGAGCGACTCGCTTAAAAAATCGAAAAAGGTGCGTCCTCTACTCGTAAAATTAGGATGATTAGACAAACTGTTTGATAGAGTTTTTGGGTGGTCGTCACTCGATATTATCAGGTTGTCCCATAAGTTCCGTCCGTTTAAACCTTCAATCGCAATAAGTCATGAACTTCATGGTTTTAGATATGTTGCAAGGTACCGTTTGATAGAACAAAGCAAGCTCCACAAGATGCGCTTCTCATGTTCGCATCATTTCAAATCCATCTCGAGTTTGAAGCCAAGAACCAAAAAGATCCAACCGCCCGAAAAATAAAGAAAAATTCGCAACTCCGTTTAAAAGAATCCTAGAAATTTCCTAATTTGCTCACAGATACCCTATTCATAGCAGACATTTATATATACTGTTGCTGTGTTTTTTCCTTGAATAGAAATCGAGAAAACGAAAATTTTCATGTTCTTGCCAAATTGATGCTGTGCCGTTCTCGCACTAGTGGTTGTATACTACAGACCAGTACAAGTACAGACAAAAATTTTCAGCGCTCTACAGGCTTTAGTTCTTGAGAAACATCGAATTTAGCTTCGTAAAGTCGGGTGTCCCGTCTTAAAACGATTATTTCTCGAGAACTAAAGCCTGTAGAGCGTTGAAAATTTTTTTTCTGTACTTGTACTGGTCTGTAGTATACAACTACTAGTGTGAGAACAGCACAGCATCACTTTGGCAAAAACTTGAAAATTTTCGTTTTCTCGATTTCTATTCAAGGAAAAAATACAGCAGCACTATATGTAAATGTCTGGTGTGGATAGGGTATCTGTGAGCAAGTTAGGAATTTTCTAGGAATTTTCTAAACGGAGTTGCGATTTTTTCCTTATTTTTCGGGTGGTTGGATCTTTTTGTTTTTCGGCTTCAAACTCGAGATGGATTTGAAATGATGCGAAAATGAGAAGCGCATCTTGTAGAGCTTGCATTGTTCTATCAAATGGTACCTTACAACCTATCTAAAACCATGAAGTTCATGACTTATTGCGATTGAAATTTTAAACGGACGGAACTTATGGGACAGCCTGATAGAAGGCAGTATCTGCTCTTTCATCCTGTGTCAGCGTTTGGTTGGGTGAATTCACTCCAATGACCTTAAAGCGCTTACAGAACAAATTGTCCACAATTCTTCTCAAAATATCTGCCATCTACGGCCGTTTCTCCACTTTGAACGTGCGAAAGTTCATCTGTTCACGTGAGAGAATGTAATGCATAAAAATTGCAATCACCATCGAATTCTGTTTCTGTAATGTTGCTGCGCTTTAAGGTTTGTATTCGGATATTAAACGTCGTTAATGCGCCATAATCTATCGATGACAGAAAAAGTAGAATACCGGCTGTATTGTGAAGAAATGTCGCTGTAGTCACCTACACTTTGACATAAGTGTATCGTTATCATTCATTTTGTTTGTCACGAGCTGTGCTAGATGAAATCTTCAGAGCTTCTTCTTTTCGTTGGATTCATGCAAAGCTAAATGTAGATCACTCTAAAAGAGGTCTTACGTTTCGACAACCCAGGAGAGCTGAGCATTTTTGTTTCCCCTAGGCGTAATGCATAGTTCGCATTTTTGAACTTTATAACTTTTGAGTGTCACTTTTGTTTTTTATTCTTTCCATTGAAAGCCCTCAATTCTATCGATTGTTTGCTTTTTGCTAACGTTTTGAGCGCGCCACTGCTAAACGCAGCATGCGCGTCTGCCGAGCAGACGCGCTTGCATTAAAGTGATTTGGTCATCGTCCGGGGGCGACCTTTGCTGCAATTTACAAATGTTAGGTCTTTTCGATTATATACACCGCACTGCGCGTCCTGCCCCATTCTAAACTTTGCTGGCTGTTTTGCACATGCGTTCCGAAAAGCTCACGATCCCTTGGGAAGGACGTCTAAAAAGACAGTAAAATCACTGACAGGGAGAAATGCGTCAATTGCGCCAATTCGTATCATGTGCAACTGCACGCTTACACATATTACTATTATCGCGTCTCACTCGGACTTCGTTGAGTATGCATGAAAGTTGCTCAGCGGTACGGTATTCTATCTCAGGTGTAACAGCCGCACACGGGTGTGTGCGGAAGGCGACAAGCCTTAAATCTTGTACCTTTCGAAACCTTCGTTGCTAAAGTGACACGGCGCAAAGGTAGGGGGATGGGAGGTGGGGGCAGACACATGATTCGATGCCATAACTAAAATTTGAAAAAATAAGCAAGAGCGATTTTACACTGCTTGCATTTTGTGCGCATTGTCGCTCCGCGTGCCCGTGCCGTACACAGTTTGTTCTGAAGCAAGCAGACGTGGGCGCATCGCTGCGCGTATGCCCCTCGGCAACTGGTCGCTCTCTCCTATATACCACCTCAGTAAACGCGCCCAATGGCAAAGGATCTAACTGGAAAATATGCAGAGAAAATGTAGCGTTTTTAGATGTAAACACTTATGAAGATGTGCTCGCAAGAACAACACAACAACACACACTTGCTTGCATCTCTGAAAATTGCCGGCTCTTGTGTCCAAAACTGACATTGGAGAGTTTATTCTATTTCTGAGGAGGAAATTGTGTTGCTTTTTTCTCACACAACAACGTAAACTACCAGTTGCCTTGAATAGTGCTGTCGGCCCTCTAACGAGGCTATTTAGGAAGGCGAATCTGTGTGTTGCTCAGAGCACTTCCTAATTCGATTGTGTGCCATCACGAGCGCTAGCAGCAGTTGCTCTCAAAACCTCTGTCGGAGCGAACGTTGTTCGCTTTGTCGACTCATGCTAGTGCCTTAATGACTTCGTCTTCTCTCTGAACTCTTGCATTATCGATATTGTGTGGAAAAAGTGCTTGAAAGTTTGATAAGCTTAGTGCTACGTCATTTCCGCAATTTTCCGCATCTCTAGACTAATCGTCCTTTTTCAATGCACTATGCGACATATTATCTGATGCGTTCCAGCATGAATTTGCGAACAAAGTGCAAAGAGAATACTGTGGATCATTTCAGTCCTAGCAAATTATTTCTTCAGTTGTGCTCATACATCTAACTAGGCAATCAGCTGCACAATTTTGATATGATTACCTCTCACAATGTTTGGAGTCATTCAGTAACAGTGCTTGAATTTCTGATCGAATATAGTGCCTTGGCTGCATCGCCGCTTTCCGAGTAGTGGAATTGCGCGCCAGCGTTGCGAAGTCTGCGTAGCGTTTGCAGGCACGTGGGCACCTTGCCAACTCTTATCAGCTCAAAAGCCTGAATCCACCAAATTATCCTTATTTCTCATGCTTATCGAGGCGTACTTCGATGGTATGCATTGTATAGGGCAATCACAAAACCCTGGCAATGGCAGCGGTCGTGTACAGGTCATTTATAAAATTGTAACGACGGAATTGACTGCGGTCTTTGCGCCCACAGGAGCACAAAACACTCAAGTAAAAAGGCATCACCTCAGTGCCCAGCTCATTCACTTCCAGTGTCCAACTACTATCATAGGTAAGCAGAGAAACTATCCAAGTAGGGATGAAAACCAAGATCCGGTTGCCGAAAGTGCGTGCGTGTCGCGCGCGGTCGCGCCATCGCCACGATTTTTCGAATGCCCTATACGTAGCGCCCATAGTTTCGGCAACTTCGTCTTCGTTTCCATCTCTACTAAATCCTTATTCTTCTTTTACGCATATGATAGCTTCTAGATACTGAAGCGACATTTAGGCGATGAAGCGACTACTCTTGTTTAGTGTTTCATGCTCTTGTGACGTTTGAGGCACGCAGTGACCGCAGTCGATTTTCTCTCACGTCTTCTGTAGGCCCTGAGTAGATGCAGTACGCGCAGGTCTTCGCAATGCGAATGCAGAGACGCGACGCAAACGGGAAATGGCCATTAATACTGAAGGTATAGCGCATTTGCAGTATCGTGACAATGGTGGCGGCCCTCGCGTCGCGTACGCGGTTTCGGCTACCATCTTGGCTTCCGCCCTACTGCGTTTTTTTTTGCATGCATAACAGCTTTTAGACACCGTAAATTATAGTGCGCACAAAGTTATACATTTTATTCTTCACGCTCTTGTAATGTTTGAGTGAGCGCAGAGGCCGCGGTGAATTTATCGCCACGATTTTGTGAGTATCCTATAGTCTAGCGAGGATTACCAAAGTGGCGCCTCTGTTATGAGTGCTAGTCTCTGAGCATCACGTGATGATTGTGTACTGTCTGAAAAATTTCCTGCGTACACTTCGGCGAACAGGTTTGGTTGCGGTTTGTCCGAATGTCTTAGGTAGTGCCACAGAAACAACATTACTGCATCTGTCTCTGCTTTTCATATTCCCGCAATCACTAATGTGTATTCACTTCAAGATATTCTAATTAGCCCTTATTATTAGCTTGTTCGTCGTGTGCAGCTGCTATTCATTGTCACATGTCGCAATCGTCTTCTGGGTCAGGAATGCTGGGATTTTGGTGAATGCAGGCTTTCAGTGCACTCTTCGGAGTCTCCACTTTCGCCTGTAAGGATTTTTTACGGCTGAGAGGAGAAAGGCGAAGCTAGGACACTAGTTGCGGCTCACTTCTTCTTGCATCCTCCGTCGGCGCCGCCGTCCGCGGCTCCCACCCCCAGCCGCCCATTACGCCGTCGTGCGCGATTAGTGCGGCCGCCCTTAGCTACGCGATCGTCGCTTTACGTCCGCAAACTTCTGTGTCCTTGCTTCCGGATCCGCGATCTTGCAATTCTCGAGAGCAGTTAACAGCCTTAAGCTGCGTCCTCGCTCACAAGTAAGCCTGATGTTTTCCCCTTGCGATTTGCTTCGCACATCCATCCCCCACTCACACTTCTTGCACGCACTTGCTAACCGCTACGCCCTTCTCATCCCTTCACCCACTTCAGAAAACGCCGACCTGATCGATGCGGAGCTTTTTTGTAGCGAAACCTGCAAGGGCGTTTGATTTGTCCGAGGTCGTAATTCATCTACAAACTTCACTTCTTTACCGTTTTCTGTTGTTTCGTCTCAATATCGTGTGCCCCGATGTAGCCGGGCAGGTAACTAGTGCTCGATCAGTTGTAGTGCCTCAACGTATTATGATATGGGATGCCGCCTGACGAGAACGGAGTCGACCGAATTGTGCGAGCAGGCCACGAAGGACGACGAGAAACAAAGAAACGTTTCGAATGGACAGCCGAAAGTGACCAGAAAGGACACGCCGGTGGTAGGAAACGAACCGCTCAGGTGGGTGCACTCTTGACGTTCTTGATACATCGTCTTACCGTATGCTTTGGTTGAATTCAAATAACATCTACACTTCCTTCTCAAGCTCTTTTTCTACGTAGATCACACGTCACTATAGTAGATGTTTCTCACATCCTCGATAAAACAAGTGCCTGCATAGCTTCAAGATGTTATTTGACTTGAGTGAATGTATTGCGATGTTGATTAATTTGAGCGTAGATATTATGTATTGCATTCGATGTCTCAGACGGAATATAAAGATAGAAAAAAACCTCTATGAAGATGCATTAGCGATGGCTAGCATCATGCTGTTGACGTTTTCGGAATGGGATAGGCTTTTGAGGGATGGAGAGAGGAGACGATGGGTGATAGTTCAATTTCTGCACTTTTTTTTAAAGAAAATACAAAATATAGATATGGAGTGACTGTAGTAACTCTATGCCATTGGACTTTTCATTTGGATGTGGCTTGGGATGTGTTTTTCTCGCATTTCTGCATTTTTTGGCTTTACCATGAAGCTAGAATCCAACTTGAAGCATTCCTTACTAGTCTCAGCCGTGCATGTGATATCAAATGAATTTGTTCTGCTTTCAGAAACGGCTATTCACCGAACAGCAGTTTGACGGCGAAACCGATTGGGTTAGTGATTTTTTACATGTTTTTCATGTAAATTTCCATCGAAAATCGCACGAGCAGTTGTGATTGTCGAGCGGCTCGTTTGCATGTGATGAGAACGTCTTCGACATTAGTCACACGGCTCGCATACGCATCGATTTCAACTCGATGAATTTCAGAGAAGTCGAGAGCGCGAGTCAAGCGGATTTCTTCCGAATGTTGGATGCTAAAATAGCGCATGTAAGTGTTTGTTGGCTTTACGTCGATGAGCTGGTCGTGCCAGACGCGCGCAGCGAGCTGAAGCGATTTTCCGCCGAAATTTCGAGTGCACTTTTGAGCTTCGCTTGGCTATTGCAGCGCATCGGCTCTGATGTCACTTACGCGCGCCAGGTGGTTTGCACGATAAACGACTGCCCAAAAAAATCGCTGCAGTCGAGAACGACCCGATTCTGCTGTTTTTACAGTTGTCGTCTATAGCTTCGATACGCAAAACAGCTAGTAGGGAGAGAATGCGAGCGCCTGGAAAATTTCTAGTCTTTTCACTGCCAGATCTCATTTCTAGGGTGCCGATCCTGACTCGGAAAATGAAGCATAGCGCGTCCATCCGTGTACATCCTGACAGCGCCGCCAAAATTTCTATGAACAAAGAACGTTCCAAATCTTATACAGCATATCATAGTTCATTATTTGTGTATTATTCACTCATTCTATCAACGCTCCACTTGCCGTACTCTAATGTTCGTGTAAAGAAAAACGTTGTCCAGAGACATATTCATGCTTCGGTTTTGATTTATTCTACCGTTTGAGAACTTGTTCTCTCTCTCTTATTCTCGTCTGGCGACATTCGTATTTTCTTCTTCTTCCAACGGGTGTGTATGCCTCTTTGATGCGTATTATTTTCTTTTGGTTAGGTCGTCGTTAGAACACCATTCGCTCGACGGTCGAATAAAAGTGCTTCTGATCTTGCATTGCATAACTTTACAGTTGGCTGGACATAAAGAATCCAAGCTTTTCAGAACGAATATAGGTATTCCTTTGTAAGTTTTAGTATGCGTGCGTCATGTACCAAAAATTCTCTAATATGGAGAGAATGAATCAAAGATATCCATTCTGCGAAAGTTTTGCACGCAATACAGAAAATCTTTATTACTCGGATGTGATGGATGTTATGATTTCATACATGTATAAACAAGCTTAATCCCTTTCTGTTCTCAAAAAAAGAACATGCGGGGGCTGGACTTGGGTTCTTAATGGGTGTTTCTTTGTTTTCTTTGATGTGCTTACGTCTCAAGTGCTTTCGTTGATTGTTCTTGATGTGGCACACCTCGTGTAAATCAAGTAAATAGAAAACAAATAAATCTGCAAAAAAAAACTCCGCAGGAGCAAAGTAAATTCTTCTGTAGTTTCTTTTCTTTCTGTCAGAACTTTCAAATTTTTTGGGGCCTCAATTATTGTTGAGAGCACATGGCAGTTTGAGAAGGTTCTGATCGAAAATAATATTGTGTAAACTTTTGATATGTCTTGACTGAATTCTTACTTATTTGAAAATGGTTGTTCTTGCATTATGATATCCTTCCTGCCGCCATCTTCCTCTTCTTGAAGTGAAAGTAGACTGTATTAAATCTTCTGTTTTTCGTGACTAGTTGCTAAGCACACTAATTTCCCACAGTTCATGTGACGAAGACTTTTTTCCAATCAGTAAGCGCGAAATTCTCGCTTTGACATGTGCCTAGCAATGAAAACAACTAATCACCTGACAGCTGTTTGTGGCTCTTGGGCAATCGAGGATAAGCGAAGCTTAACGACAAGGATATTAGAAACGAGCTACATAATATGTGGAAAAAGGTGTTTGCTCAAATAAACACCTAGGAATGCACTGCTAATTACGTTATCTTTTGAGCAGCTGTTTTTCTGGTTTTAGAAGGTAAAGGTGTATCTTTTGCAAGTTGAATTTACAGCAGGCTGTCTGTTCAGTGGTAGAAAAGCAAACAATAAGATTTTATAATGGCTAAATTATGAGGATAAGCTAACCAATTAATGCCTGAAGTAATCTGGTAATTGAACAAGAATGATTGAAAATAATGACTAAATCGAATTTTCTAAGTAATTTGAAGTACAAATTATCAGTCAAAGTTATCTATGACTCAAAGTCTAGCTCATCAACACCGTAACAATTAGTCACCATGCATTAGAGTCCTCATGTGACTTAGCCTACTAATCCCTTCTTCTTCCCTACAAAAAAAGAGAGGAAAAGAATGAAGTCATGGCTAAACCGATCACATGGCATGAATGCCAATCTTGTTGCGCATGAATATGACTGATTGTACAGTACCCACACTAATTATTCGACAGAAAACGCAAAAACTGACGATCCGCGTTTTTTTCGTTTTTTCTTTATAACTTCCTTCAAATTGCATAAAATACAAATCCGAAGAAAGCATGATGCTCAGCTCGTCAAGATGAATCTTCTGATATGCTGCACTCTCGTACTATTCTGTTTTCAATCTGCTCGATTTTTGTGTGAGGACGGGTATTCCTAGTGGTGTAACTCAGCGAAGAACATACATGGACGATTCATGTAAACATGGTTCAGCAGTGCTGTCCCCATAGATTATCATGCACTAGTGAGTAGCGAAGGATTCCCTTTCTATAGAAAAAGATAGGCCGTTTAATTTTGAAAAAATCGATCTCTCTCAAATTTTCGTTACCGTAACCATACAGTAAGACGCCAATTTGCAAAGCAGGTGTGTTTTTCGTGATCAGCAGGTTAGATAACCTCTATACGCAAGTTTTCCAAGGAATTCGGAACCTTTCATTTTTTCTCGTTCTAGGCTGTGAAGCTCGCCGACGGGTTTTGGCTAAAATATTGATGATCTTGGATTGATCGGAAACTTCGCCCATAGAGGTTTTCGGACTCGCTGATTACAGAAATAGTGCCCTCTGTGCAGCATAAGTTCTTTTGGCAGAGTTATGCTGAGAGGAATGTTGCGATACTATGCGAGTTCTTAAGTTTGTCTAGCCTTTGCGCTTGTCTTTTCGACAACTTTCCTGCTCCTTTTTGTAATTTGAAATCACTAGAGGCATTGCTTTTAGAGCATGCTTAAACTAGGCCCTCACCTGTATTGATCGCCGAACTGTGAGCTGACGAACTCACGTCCTCATGAAAATCGTTCGAAATTTTAAGATCGCATATTTTGGCCAAATATCGCCGCGAATGGTTACAGATGACTCTGATTGCAGATATTATGTTTATATACAGATGTAAATTATAATTTATGCCGCATACTGCTGCTTACCCCTTGTGCCAACTCTTACACCTGTAACTCAAAGTTTGCAAGAAATCGATAAGCCGATATCACCGATGACGAATTGTAATCTATTAGACCAGCTCGGCTCCTAAGGATGGGTTCATACTGATTCTCATGTTCCGGAACTGTTCCCGCACAGTCCCGCAATGTTCCCGCACTATGCTGGGAACTGTGCGGGAACTGCAACTGTGCTGCATGCGCTGCAGCCCCGCACGCGTTTTGAACGGCGGAAGTTGGAGAATTTTGACCGTTTTCAACGATTTTTCTTCCAAATTTCTCTCATTTTGGCCTTATTCCTCTACCCGCTCCTTTTTTTTTGATCAGCAGAACTTCGAGCTCGAAGCGGGGTTGAAGAAAGCGCTTTTCTGTTCTGCGTATGCGACAAGATGTGTGTTCTTGCGCTCGTCCATTTTCTCTTCGCTTTATTTTTACACAGACTTATTCCATTTGTTCCAGGAAGCCCCTGCGTAGTTTCCATAGCCATCTGCTGTAAATTAGGAGTAAGAGCAATTCTGAACTTGCATGAATTGAGACTTGTCTTGTGTTTTGATGAGTTTCGTTTTTGGGCATTCTCCGCCCCTTTCCTTTTTCCATATCGTTGCTTCTACTTTCTTTCTTCTATCCCGCTTCTCCTTGTGATGAGAAAAGCTGTGAACTTGAAGCGGAGTTGAGGATTGAACGCGGTTCCCATCATGTTTCCGGGAAGATAAACCTTCTTGCGTTCGTCCACCTTCTCTGCCATTTTTGTTCAGGCCTACTTCATGTGTTCTAAAGACCTGTCCATGTTCCTTTCAGTACAGATGCGAGGCTACGCAGCGCCTTCTGAAACACATGAAGCAGGCCTGGGTAAAAATGGAATAAAATGGACAAGCGCAAAAAGAGCTATTTGCCCGGATATGGGATAGAACAAGGTTATTCCTTTAACTCGCTTTAATTTCACACATTTTCTCATCACAGGGAAAGGGGCTGAGAATGGCCAAAAAGGAAACTCATTAAAACAAGAGAAAAGTCCCAATTTATGCAACTTCAGAATTGCTCCTACTCCCTAATTCATGGCGAAAAGCGCTCATTCTTCAACCTCGCTTCGAGTGCGCTGTTCTGCTGATTAAAAAAAGGAGCGGGTAGAGGAATAAGGCCAAAATGAGAGAAATTTGGAAGAAAAACCGTTGAAAACGGTCAAAATTCTCCAACTTCCGCCGTTCAAAACGCGTGCGGGGCTGCAGCGCATGCAGCGCAGTTGCAGTTCCCGCACAGTTCCCAGCATAGTGCGGGAACATTGCGGGACTGTGCGGGAACAGTTCCGGAACATGAGAATCAGTATGAACCCATCCTTAGGAGCCGAGCTGGTCTAATAGATTACATTTCGTCATCGGTGATATCGGCTTATCGATTTCTTGCAAACTTTGAGTTACAGGTGTAAGAATTGGCACAAGGGGTAAGCAGCAGTATGCGGCATAAATTATGATTTACATCTGTATATAAACATAATATCTGCAATCAGAGTCATCTGTAACCATTCGCGGCGATATTTGGCCAAAATATGCGATCTTAAAATTTCGAACGATTTTCATGAGGACGTGAGTTCGTCAGCTCACAGTTCGGCGATCAATACAGGTAAGGGCCTAGTTTAAGCATGCTCTAAAAGCAATGCCTCTAGTGATTTCAAATTACACAAAGGAGCAGGAAAGTTGTCGAATAGACAAGCGCAAAGGCTAGACAAACTTAGGAACTCGCATAGTATCGCAACATTCCTCTCAGCATAACTCTGCCAAAAGAACTTATGCTGCACAGAGGGCACTATTTCTGTAATCAGCGAGTCCGAAAACCTCTATGGGCGAAGTTTCCGATCAATCCAAGATCATCAATATTTTAGCCAAAACCCGTCGGCGAGCTTCACAGCCTAGAACGAGAAAAAATGAAAGGTTCCGAATTCCTTGGAAAACTTGCGTATAGAGGTTATCTAATCTGCTGATCACGAAAAACACACCTGCTTTGCAAATTGGCGTCTTACTGTATGGTTACGGTAACGAAAATTTGAGAGAGATCGATTTTTTCAAAATTAAACGGCCTATCTTTTGAAAGGGAATCCTTCGCTACTCACTAGTGCATGATAATCTATGGGGACAGCACTACTGAACCATGTTTACATGAATCGTCCATGTATGTTCTTCGCTGAGTTACACCACTAGGAATACCCGTCCTCACACCAAAATCGAGCAGATTGAAAACAGAATAGTACGAGAGTGCAGCGTATCAGAAGATTCATCTTGACGAGCTGAGCATCATGCTTTCTTCGGATTTGTATTTTATGCAATTTGAAGGAAGTTATAAAGAAAAAACGAAAAAAACGCGGATCGTCAGTTTTTGCGTTTTCTGTCGAATAATTAGTGTGGGTACTGTAGGCTTATTTTGTACACTCTGTTCGAAACGCAATCATTCAAAAGAGACTCGAAAATCAGCTGATAGCTAGAGTAGCAGCAGCTGCTCTGAAGACAAGAATTATGGGGAAAAATTTGATATGTTTAGAAACAAATATCATGTTTTATTATCAGTTGAGTTAATGAAATCAAAACGAATCAAATTTTTCCTGTTTGTAAATTCTGACTCTTTTGATGTTGTTAGTGATTGATATCGTGATGGACGATCACTTTCTGAAAGCAAGGGCAGAATTTCTAAGGTTCAAATTCTGAAATGATTCTTCACTCACGACAGAAGTCGAAACAAGTTGACAGTCTTTCTTTTTGAAGCTCGAAGCCAATGTCTCGCAAGGCCACAAGATCTGTTTTTGATGATGAGAGTAACTCTAGAATGTTCTTTCTGAGGTTTTCCTTTGGGAGAAAGCTGTTGCAGGATAGTGTGACATTTATGGGAATTCTCTTTTTTCTGAGCTAAGGTTTATCCTTAACCTTTCACTTATCAAAGCAAAGTTGATTAGGTGCTGAGATATTCTCGAATTGAAAACATTCTTGATTGATATTGTATGTCATGGGATCCCACTAACAAATTTCTGATTGCTCATCGCTTTTTCTTCTGGGATAGAAGGTGCAGCAATATAGAGGTAACGCGGTGTAGGGGGGGGGGGGGGGCACATCCAAAAAATGTTAACAATGTTTCATCATGTCAATAGTCGTATATTCTATCAATTTTTTATTCACGTAGAAGGCATTCCACTTCCTCTGCAACTCAGTGGATCTTAAATCATCCTTTGGCGGGCAGTTTTTTTAGACAAAACATTTTCGCCAAAATTATTAAAAGGTTGATGTTTGAAAAGTTGAAAGTAGTATGTTACATATGTATTCTCCAATGTATATCAGCTCATTCAATATAATTTTGTGTTGTTGTGCACACCGCGCGAATGTTCTCGCGCTCAGCTCTCACATAAAGAATATGACTCGAATCCATTCGAATGCATTATGAGCCCTCGTGCAAGGTGCTAAGGTTCAGCAAAGCTTATGTGCTGGTAGAAGGTTAAATTGTCTAAATAATACTCATATTCAAGATAAGAAACGGATGCTGATTACTGGCTGTAAAAATTAGTGACATCTTTGAATAAGCAACTTCAAAAGCATAACTCAAAGATAGTAAATGTTAGAAGAGATTCTGAAAAAATAGAATAATGTGTTTTCATATTTTGCTTGTGATGTGATTGGTATCAGAAAAAATGAACTCCTTCCACTTGCAAAGTCCCCGAAAAATCTTGGAATGCTGCACAAATTGATTGACATCATCAGTTTGATGAGAAAAATCAGTTAGCGTTCCAATTTTGGGTTCGCTTGAAAAGGGTTTGCTCACTCAGAAAGTGTGAATTCAAAAATTCTGACGCTCGTTCGGATTCCGTAAATAGTATTAGCTCTGAGTTCATTAGCTATGAGTTCGCCTATACATTCTAGCGATATTGAGACCATAGTGTTTCGGACGTTCCTTTGGGGGCTGACAAATATAGCTAAATTACACATATTCGATATTGGATTCCTTTGTCCATTGAATTTGAGCGTAAAAGCTTTCACATAAAAAAGCTTTGAATAAATTCACGAGGGCTTTAGGGTACTCAAAAGTTGCTACTCTCAAAACTTGGGATGGATCGTTTTGGTCATTATAGTAGTTTCAAGAATGGTTTGATAGAAGTTGAAATAATCGAAGAATAAATGAAATTTTAATCACCGAGAAATCAACATTTTTTCTCGTATGCTTTTGGTACTTTCAAGCTTGAAAGCTCTTTGTAGCAAATTGTTTACAGCTTTATAAATGTGTCGTGAAACGAAGATCAAGTCTTTTTCGAGTCAACAATGTGTGCTAGAAAATCAAGAGACGCTAGAAAATTTGGTCAAAATCTAGTCATATTTTTGGAATGTAACGCATATTGTTACCATGCCAAATTTTTTATAGTAACTTGGTGTTAACAATAATACTTGATTTTCTTTCTCAACTGTTACTGTTCTCAAAGTGTTCGTTGCTTCTATCTGAACGTTGTTTTTATTTTTCTTCTTGAATTATCTGTTGTGGCACTTCTGAGACTCAACAAGTGGTTATAAATATTTCACACCTTGATTATAGACTCTAGAATCCGAAGAAATTAGTTCCCATCTGTTATTTTCTTCACACTGCCGCTCGCAGAGCAATTGCGTGCTAATGCCGCTCGGATTGCTAATGATCTGCCCACGTTGCTTCTCAGGCGTGATCTTTGCATAATTGCATGGATTGCGTCATTTCAGGGGCTCTATGCTTTTCATGTGAAGAGAAAATCTGTTTCTGATGATTGTGCTTGAAAAAAAATTAATTCTTCGGTTCGAATGGAAGAAATTTGCCAATCTGGCACGTTCCCAGATTTTTACAATCGAAAAACGGCGTATTTTTTAACAAAATTGTGCTCAACAAATAAAAGTGGCAGTACAAGGTTAAAATTTTCCGAATATTGAACGATTAGCAATTCCACTATTTTCCGCCAACATGTGTAAATCTAGATTAATAACAATCAATTTTTATAAAAATTTATTCGACGCCTTTGCTAGGCACAAATGAGATCGTTTGAAAGCGTATGCAACCTGCCAAAGAATATGACACCTACAAAGCTTGTACATGTAAATGTTTTGACCACGAGGCCTGTGAATTAAATCTAGCTACAATTTAAAAATTCGGCTTTTCCTTGACTATTTCCGGTGTTTCCAATGGTATTGGAGGAGATTTCGACAGAGGAAGAAGCGTTAGGCTATGATAACGTTTAGCGAATACTCCTATCATTGCTGTCCATTTCGCTAACATAAAGAACCAAACCGATGTAAGCCAGAAATTCTCGCCTTGTAGGCCTATAAGACAAAATTAAGTTACCTAGAAGAGTTACCTAATTGCCTAATAATATACCTTACCTTCTGATGTCAGGGTTTGGTGATGAACTCCAGCATATACGAGGCAAGCGATCAATCCGATCATTGATATAACGAACATTACCCATCCTGAAAACAATATTCACTAATTTTTTTTTTCAAAATAAAATACTAAGATGTATTATGGATCATCTGATGATAAAGCGTTCTTTGACACGTACTTTTGAACCAACAAAGCTCTTATCACTCAGTAATTCACGGAAACCTCTTATCAACCTCTAGCAGTGCGTAAGGTATGGATCAGAAATCAGATGAAAAAAGAATGTTTGCAACATCATGTACTCTAATCATTCCCAGCATTTTCTAGTTTTATCTGCAAGAAGAGAACTTCTACAGGAAATGAGAAGAGGAAGTGCAAGTAAAGGGGCAAATCAAAGTACGAAGATACCCTTGGACTGTTGCACTATGCTAATCTTTTCTCAATCAAATAGATGCAGATAGATTCAATTTGAAATGTTTTTGATTTCATTTCTCGTCTCTTACGATTCGAACTTCACTTAAATATTCCACATGAAAACTTCTGCTCTTTTATGCCCTGAATACTTCAGAAAACAGGGATAATGGGTTTGGTCTGCACAATATGTGTAATTGTACGCTCTAAGCATTTATGCCCAATAAAACTTGTATTTTTTACCTACAAATTTTCTAATTTTCATATTTTTTCCCTTCTTTATATGAGGATGAAGCTTAAGAAGAGTAAGTTGATCTGCATCTGAGCAGATACTGTACGCAAATTTTTGTGCATTTGCACATCTCACTAGAACCATGATTAATGACTATGGCACTAATATAACTCCATTAGTTATTTCTCAAAAGTATCTAAATTCTCACCTCCCCAGAGATAGCATGTAAATCGAGCCCTCGGCCAGTCAATCATCTTCCCATTTTTATATGCCAAGTGCATATAAAGTAATACCGTTGCACCTACTCCGGATATGAAAGCCATAGTTGTGGCAGAATAGTTCTGAAATTATGCTATGTTTCGAATAGGGATTGATTGGCTATAAAAATCTGGTCTAGAAAATATTACATGGTATTGAATTCCGAAGCATAGAGCAGCACTATATCCAGCGATCATGCCTAGTATAGCAATACCAATGTAAACCTTGATGTTGCACATGCCTAAAAATCAATAGCTATATTTTATTCTGTATTTAAGTGGAAGTAATACAAGAAGCCAACGTCTAGCCAGAATTCGAATAGCGAGTAAGGGAAGAGAAATCTCAAAAGTGGAACGACCGAGAATGTAAAGAAGGGGTTGGCAAACAATCTATCATAGCAAAAACCCGAAATTCACAGTTTTCTATGAACTGGCTAGACGTAAGAACTACTGTAATTCTTCATCAATTATTTACCAACCTTTAGGCATAGAAGGAATCGTATTATAAACATCTACATACGGAGTAACGCTATCATAACGGTAAATATGATGACCGGTCATCTAAAAAAGAAGGATTAGGAAATTAAGAGGGATTTTTCACGCTCAAACGGAGGAACAACAATAAACATTCGACGGAATGCTGCACAATAAATGAAGACATTGTTATCTATGGGTGGTGCAAATCTTGTTTGGCTCCGTTTGCTAGACCTTTATGGAGGCCGCTTATCTTCGTCTATCATAATTTCATCATATGGCGCACTGTTCGCGGCTCGGACGACGAACCCACAGCAACCGTTTTTTATCGCGTATCGGTGTGGAAAGACAAGTAGACTTGGAAGTTCCTGCTTTGTTATTTGATTGATTGTTGGAATTAATTGCCTACTGAGAATTGTTTCCTGAAAGACTTCCTTTGCAGCAGTGCTGTCGATCAAAGAAAGCATATACGGTCCTTCAGTACGATTCTAGAAAGATCTATAAATAGTGTTTTTAATTACAAAGGTTAAACGACGTTCTATAGTAACATTTCAGACGAACAATGTAGGGAATGAGCATCTGGAGGAGATATTATAGAAAATTCATTCTCAAAAATTAAAAAAAAACGTCAGAAGTAAGATGAAAATGTAATGTCAAAATGGTTGTGCTTGTACGACGCAGAAAGTTCAAATTTGAATTTTCCCCCCTTGTTGAGGTCATTACGAAATTTTTCATTTTGAAATTGTCAGTAGAAGGAGAACCGATTGTTTTTGAGATCCCAAAAAGCGTAATTGAATCCATCAAAGTAATTTCAATAATCCATTTATGAAACATGAAAATAAAAAGGAGTATTCTGTTATTCTAAAAAACATGTCATCATAATGACGAAATAAATTAAAGCAATTTTTCAAACACGTTTTTATTCTAAAATTTCCAGTTTTGAGCTAGCAAAAAGAGCTGCTTTTCATAAAGGGATATAACAAGGTATTTTACTACTCATATATTATAAAATGCAGAAACAGACCCACGGAATTTATTTCTTTGAGTCATCGGAGCATTTTTGTGATGCTAGTTCTTTGAGGTAACATCCAATTCCATTTATCTTATCTGTCTTATGTCATCTGCACTTTGGGTTCACTTTTCCAAGGTGCACTGAGAGGAAGAATTTCTTTTGCAAATAGGCTTAAAAAGTCAAGATGGTTTTATTTGAGCGCAAGTCCCAAGCAGATTGGCAGCATTTATGAGTGTGGCAATCTTTCGCACAGATTTTGCCGTTACCGCAAATTCACGATTTGAAAGGTCAGACCAGTACGAAAGGTAAGGTACGAATTCACAGAATTTTTGCTGGCAATCTTTGATAATGTGTCAATAAAACAATCTGCACTAGACATTTATTTTCAAATGATGTTAGTTGTACAGTTGAGCAATGTAAGATCATTATGAAAACTAAATACACACGATGTTAAGACACTGCACCTTATTTCTAGAGTTAGTAACAAGGAGGTTCGTTTTCTGGTTTGAAAACTGTACAATTCACCAATGCTATAAATATCACAGTCTGCAATAAAACAAAAAGTAGTAACAAACGAAAAATCGATCCATATTTGAACAAATCATTAGTTGCCAATACTATTCATTTTAAGTGTGAAGTATGTACTCATAGAATTAGAGGGTTAGTAACGAGTGTCGATGGGCGGTCGTGGAACGCCAAGCTGATTCGCTGTTCTAAATAGAAAAAGTTCACTTTTGCAAAATATCTAGTAATCAAAGTATGACAAAAATAGATTTGCAATGCTAGCAAAAGCTCGAAAAACTGTACTTTCACCGTAATTCCCGTCATTATCGCTAATTCGTTTGTTATGTACCCTCACCTTGATAACGTGTTATCGTAGCCGATCAGGATGCCAGGGGAGCGTGGCATGAAATCCTAGAATATATCAACAATAAATAAACAATAAATAACATTCAATACAAAGTGCTTGAGAAGCCTTTAATTGTTAGAAAAGTCATTTGAAAAAAAAAACAAAAGTTCAAATGAGAAATATTGAGCAAATGCTGTTAAGCAACGAAAAAGAAAACAACTCATTGTTAGGGTGATTCAATCACGTTTTCTTGAAGAGGATTTTGATGTCGTACTTCGGAGGTTTGGCAGCCTGAAGGAGAGTCAGCTCTAGAGTGTCATAAATCTTACTTATTATAGCATAAACATTTGTCATTTGGGTAATTAGGCAACTCAGCTTCTGGCTTGCTGATTATATAGTCATTTTAATAAATGTAACTGAGTGCATCACACTTATCATATTTACCGTAAATTTTTGATAGCATCTCTCAATCCTGGCTCATCATCACGACAGTCGAGGTTGGACCATTCAAATAAGCGGCAATTATGTGAAAAGTTCATTTGCATCAGAATTTCCTGTTAGTAGCAAGAATTTTGAAAAGTATTTCACGGCTCTTCATTTGTTTGCTAACTTTGGGCCCTCATGAAACAGGTCCGCTATCAGAAGCACTAAGAACCTATCAGAGTTCAGTTCCTGATACAGTTTTTAGATATCCAATTAGGTTTGTATAAGCGCTTTGTGCAACGAACAGGTAAAGTTATGCTGAAAGTGACAAAAAATACTCTAATTGAACCCTCAAAAACTTGTACAGCTGATTGCCAAATGTATGGAGCCCCACAAACATTTATCTCACTAAAAGACCAGAAAGTCAGCAAGCGATTTATTCCTTGAATTGTCAAAAGGCATGTCAGCCCATAAATCAAACGCATTTTTCGAAATTTTGCGGAACCAAAAGACCTGTTGACCGTTTCAAATGATGTGTCTAGTAGTTCGGTAATCAGTCATTGTTCTCTTTTTACTCCAGTGGCTAAGAATAATCCCATCTTTGGGACACTAACTTGACCGATCATCTTCGAAAATACTTCTGACATCTTCGATATTTAGAATCATTGCAAAATTTGCGACGGTCACGTAAGGTGGTGTGATGTCAAAAAGAAGAAAGGATAGGTATTTCCCAGCTGTGGATCCTTCTTTCCGTGGTAAAGAAAACAAGATAGCTTTTTCATAAAATATAATAGCTCTTGTGTTATTCTGTCATGGAAGCAAAATAGTGCAACTGAGTTTAGACGAAAGATATAATAAGAAAATAGCGGAATAAGTTTTGAGGAAGGTGACCGTGAATAAAAGCTACAGTCGTAAATTTTGCTGCGATGTATATGTTTCACAGTTAGAAATAAACATAAAACAAATAAAAAATAAAAGCGTGAAGGCGCTCTATGAAAGCAGCTTTATTAGCATGATCTCAACAAAATGCACAACCGAAGGCACTAGAATAAAATATTCCACTTGTAATGTGAAGTTATATATAATGTACAACTCTCAAAACTCCTAGAAAAATCCTCCTCAAACAAATGAACTGAAAATGCGGTGAAAATACATGATTTGAACATAAAATGCATGCTGAACGAAATGAAACCCATAAATGCAGGCAAAAATGGTTACTACAAGAAAAATTAATAAGCTTTGCTGAGAGGTTGTTGTCGGCTTTGTACATCAACGGTGTAAGTGACCGGAGTTTGCCGAAGACGTTCAGACGAATCATCTTTATAGCCGACTGGTACACTCACATTGTAGCCCTTATGGGTAAGTTCTAGATCTTCGTTAAGCCCATGAAGTCCAACGAAAAGTTTATACAGCCAAGCTCCGATCAGAGCGCCGATTAATGGGCCAACAATTGGAATCCAGAAGTAGAATCCATTAGCGCTGAAATTGTACAGTTCTATGGCATTGTAATTCGGATTACAATGATCGAAGGATGCACTTTGATAGCCCTTCGCTAAGCCGACTCGATATCGGTGCAGAACCGGAACTCTGATTATTGATTTTTCTGCTGCGTTTGAGTTTTCTACTAGCGCCTAGGGATCTGTACATTAACTCTAAATTTTGAAACTGATAAGTACTTAGAATAGAATATTCAGCAACTTAAGACATTCTAAAAAAGTTCAGAACGTTCTAAACACTGCATGGTGCAGTGAAATGCACCTTTGCTTACGAGAACCCTCGGGTTACAGGAGTTTGAAGGGACGCCAATTTTTTTATGGTACCACTCACAAAATTGGAAAAATCTGCTGCTCAAAAAATCAGGAACTGATACTCTTTGTCTATAGAGATTTTCTTTTGCGGATACTTTATCCCTACTTAGGTTTCGAATATTTTCGGCATCAGAATGCAAAAGTTATAATTCGAGAGGAGCGTTGTTTTTAAAACGGCAAGATCTTGCGAATCTCTGCTGCTCAAAGAAAATGGAAGAAAAAAAGATGAACTGGAAGTCCTTTGTTGTAATCGATTTTTTCTACAATTAATTTTTCGTTAATTATTCATGTTCCGAATTTTTTTGATTTTGTTAACTTAAGAAAAGTCTATGGCGTCTTCTATTGACACCTATCGTAAATTCAATTCTCTGTTTGGGACATAAAACAGTAAGCAAATTTTGTGTAATACACAACCCCATTTTGGTTGAATGGAACGAGTATTACAAAGCGATCAACATTTTACTTTGTCTGTGACTTCCTCGCAACGGCTTATCAATCGAGAAATTGAAATGTAATTGCTGTCAAGGTTATAGGCTGGCATTTTGAACTGTTAGTAAGAGTGATCGTTGTCTAACCAGATTCAGCACTATTTAAGTGGACTGATTTACAGATCAAAGAAAAAAAACTGTAAATGTGACGATAAACGCATACCTGAACACCTCCCAACCGTAGCCGGCACAAAGAGTGAAAAGTCTTGGGCCAAGATCTCGAGCTGGATTGATGGCAAAACCACCGTTGGCACCGAATGTCATGGCGACCTGGAAATTTATCCATGATATATTTCATAAAAAAGTTTGGGGCCAAAATTTCTAACCATTGACATGATCGCACCAGCCAAGGGCGGAACAAGTCCAGCTGGGATTCGGTGTCTCTTATCTGTGATTAGGCATATAAGACCCGATAAGATCGCAGTACCAATTATCTAAATTTCCAAAATGACTTATAATGTGTATCCTTTGGAAAAAAATGGATTCACCTGGTCTAGAAGGCTACCCCATACGCTCATTTGAGGTGTTGGAAACGTTGTGAACAGGCCGGCAGTGGCTTGTGCACCCGTAACCTGCCGTATACCCCCGTCAAGTTTCCAGAGATCGTCTGTAAACAAAACGGACCACTAAAATCTTGGCACCTCGCCAGCAAACGAACTCACCATGATGTCCAAAGTAGCTGACAGCAGTGCCTAGATATGCACCGATAATTTGAGCAATGGTATAAAGGACCACCTTCCAAGCCGGTATATTGCCGAGTACCCATTGAGCCAACGATATGGCTGGATTGAGATGAGCGCCTGTAAAACTTCTCCTCAAATTTTATCACAGTAATCTTACCGTAACGAGATTTACCTGATACACTAGCAGCTAAATAGACAGCAAACATGAAGCCGATACCCCATGCAATATGGCAAGATGTCATATTTCCACCAACAGCTGCTGCAGCTTGAATATTTGCTGCGGTACCAATGAGCTAGAATAAAATGTATTAATTTCCCCTTTTTCTAGAGTTTATTAGTGTTTTAAAAAGAGGAAAATGCAGTGATTGCAGTAATCTGTACTTACAAGCAAAAAGAATGTGCCAATTGCCTCGGCTAGCAACTCTCGTATGAGTTTATTGTCCTCGATGCGGAGCGTATTACTAATGCGATCTCGGAACTCGTCCATTTCTGGAAAGGGTGTGGTTGGTAATTTGATTTCAATAGGTAAATGCTGTCCTTTTGAGGAAAGGTAGTAAATAATCGTGATATCATGTTCACGAACACGAGAATTGATTCAATGTAAGGAAAATTCGTTGGAACTTGAAAATTGCGACTATGCACAGCATCGTATTAAGTCACATCAAACTTGAATATCTTAACTATGTTCCAAAAACTGCGCGACGTGCCCGCCCCAGCACATTAGGGCTGATTATCGCTTTGTTACCGTGAACGTTGACCTGTTACAAGTGATTACTACTAAAGACTGCCTATACGGTAAAAGGAAGAAACTCTAAGGTCAGCGGAAATTCAATTTTGTTGAGTGATAAACAATAGAAAAGGGCAAGAAGACATCCTAAGGCTGACTGTAGCATTTCTGCTACCATGAAACGGTTTTGCACAGTTGCAGAAGATTAGCATGACCAGCCAAAAGACAGCAATGACCAACAATGATATCCAGAGAAATAAATGTATTGCTAGGCAGCATTCTTCAAGATTCTGAAAAAAATGTTCGCACTTTGAGATATCACAACGCTCATATCATTTCTCTCATTTTCAAAAATCATAGATGAGAGCTACTCCGGTTTTGCTAGAAACTACAGTACAAAAATAGAAGCTAGATACGTCAATGAGGAATTGAGTAGATGCGTATTCAATCTAAGGTGTGAAAAAGGAAGAATTTGGGTTAAGGAAGACATAAATAAATCAGAAAAATGTAAACAAGTGGGTGTTGTCATGACTGAGATCAGGCAAAACAAAACGCTAAAAAACCGGTATCCACAGGTTGTAAAATGGATGCACTGTCGAGTGGTATATTTTCCTTAAAAGGAAATTAGCCAGACACATTCGAACACAGCCGTATGGAATTCGCAACACAGGGAACCATGGCTGTAATTGGAAGACATGTACGATCTATTGTTTACGTGTTGACGTATCATCCAATAAAGTTGAATTGAAACAATGGTCAACAGCAGGAGGCGAAATGCAATGCGCGACAGGCCGAAGTGCAAGTTGAAATCCTACTTTCATTTCATTTTATATGCGCATTGTCCTTTGGCACTGGATTATTTTATCAAACGGTTTTTTTCGACTTCCAAAAACGCTTACGTAAATTGAGACGTGACTCGTGTGGGAATATCGTTCCATCGAACTTCGAGCGTGGTGATCAGTGCATTCAAAATATTGTTATATTTCCATTTCAGGGGATTTAGCTGGTTGGATAATGAAGTCATTACACCTTTGAATAACTTTTCTACCACATAGAAACGAGAAAAAAAATATTCTTAGCAGTCACAAGATTTCAAAAAGATGCAAGAATGATTTCCGTAGTTATATTGTAAAAAGCATAAATTACACATATCAAAACCTGGTTACTCTTCTGTAGCTGTTGAGCCGCAGAAATTGTAAACGAAATCCATCGATTTACCAGTTACACATTCGTTATTCGCATGATTTTTTGTTCTTACCTGCGGACTAGGTTTCATCAGCTGATGATGGTCCTTTTTTTTTTCATAATTTTTACTATCAAATTTGAAAGGTAGAAGTGAAAGCATTGCTATTAGTTGCAAATTCTATAGTAATTTACAAAATCATCCGTAGGAACCCCACTATCCCGTCGTTGTCATCCTTACTCACAACTCTCGTTCATCAATGGAGGTTCACGCTAAGACTTGTAAGAATTGAGGTCAATGATCTTGTTGTAAAAATGTGACAGGTAGCAGCAAAGTTCTGTAGATGCAGAACTTTACTTTGTGGGACTTGATGGGGACCAAATGTCCATTGTCGATGTACTACTTAAGATTATCCAATGATAGAAACAAGAGCCTTGGAGGCAAAAGAACAAATCCCCGGACGCAAATTACGCTTGGGTTAATGCTAAGACGGGTTTGAGAGCCGGGTGAAGTCGAGTGCTTTTGTAGTCACTAGAGCCGGCTGAGTCACTTATTCGACGAGTATGGCCTAATTATTCGTTTTCGCCACCCCCTATATACGCAACAAGGACATAGTAAGTATGGAGCATTGAGACAGTAAGTCCGAAAAAATCGTGAATAGTGTAAGGGATGCAAATTGACTGGCGCGTTGCACTGAACTATGGTAAAATAGCGGATTTTGCTGTGCACTTAGCATAAGCAGCATTTCGAAGGCACGTGCAAGAATATTTGCATATAAAATTGCAACTATGAACGATCGGATGACTTACATACTATGATGTAGCACTATGCCTAGGCTATGACTCAAAAATTTGAATTCAACAGGTTCGCCATGACCCGTCATATGCGCTATCAAGTGAGGGCAGCACTCCAGAAGTACGACTTTTGATTCATTTACAGGTTCAGTGGTAGAGTAAGATTTGCTCAGTACTTTGAAAGACTGAAGTACAACTACGTTGTGAACTCTGGATTTTAGACCACAAAGGAAATGTGGTGCTGTGTTTCTATAGTTGGACCTGTTCCTTTGCGATTCGCAAGCTACTGATGATGATGATGGATTGCAGTCAAAGCGAATTTTCCAAGATTAGTGCACTTTTGCCAGGAACATTTCTTGCATATACAGTGACCGCCAAAAAGTTGCGGACAAACCCCTCTCCCTTTTTCATGGCTCTTTTTCAGAGAGAAAACAAGGATGAAAAAATGCAATAATTGCATGAGGTGATAGAGCTCTTCATGATCTACAATCTACACTTTGAGTTTTTTGAGAAACATGTGTTCTACAAATTTTAAGAACCTTTTTCTAAAAAAAGTCCGAAAATGGCCGCGTCACAATGTCGCGGACAATAATTCTTCGAACGCAAAAATTTTCTTTTGAGTCCTATTTTAAAGCGGAAACACAAGTTATCCGGACGGGTAAACACACTACTATATAAAGCTCATCAAGAGCTACACACTGGTTATGGTTGCTTCCCCAAAAAACGCAAGCTTGAGTTTTATTTTACTTTTTTCAAAAAACAACTTCTAATTTTCTTTATCAAGCCAAATTTCTTCACACGGAAACCTGTTCAAGACATCCCAATAAAGTCGTCTGGATAAAATAAATGCTTTTTGCCATGCTCTGTGCATCGGACGTGTGCTGATGAGTTTCTTTGCTGAAATGGCCCCTGGCAGTGCTTGCACATGACCCCACATGCACCTCCCCACTGACTTGTACCGCTTTGCAGGCTTGTAACTCGACCGCCAGACGATATAAGCATCTGCAAGTAGACTTATTCGAAAGAGCGTGAGTTCCTGGACACGATGATATGCAAATGAATTGAGTTCGAACAATTTCAGAGATTTGGCGGATGGGATGAAAAAGTGCAGCCTTAGAGTTGATTGAAGTGAAAGCTCTTATGAACACCAGAACAGTCTTAGAGCTTTGAAATGGATCTATTACAAGAAAATTGACAGTTTTGAACTTCCAGGATGAAATTGGTAGCGAAAGGAGCTCTCTTCATCTTTAGCTGAAAAGTGCTTAGACTACAACTGAAGCTGCCATCTACCACTCCATCCGCCAAATCTCTGGGATTGCTCAAACTGAACTTATTTGCATACTATCGTGTAGAGGAAGTCTCGTTCTTTCGAACGAGCCTAATTGCAGGCTCAAATATTGACCGCAGGTCGAGTTACAAGCCTGCAAAGCGGTACAAGTCAGTGGTGAGGTGCAGGTGGGGTCATGTGCAAGCACTGCCAAGGGCCATTTTCAGCAAAGAAACTCATCAGCACACGTCCGATGCATAGAGGATGGCAAAAAGCATTTATTTTATCCAGACGACTTTGTTGGGATGTCTTGAACAGGTTTCCGTGTGAAGAAATTTGGCTTGATAAAGAAAATTAGAAGTTGTTTTTTGAGAAAAGTAAAATAAAACTCAAGCTTGCGTTTTTTGGGGAAGCAACCATAACCAGTGTGTAGCTCTTGACGAGCTTTGTATAGTAGTGTGTTTACCCGTCCGGATAACTTGTGTTTCCGCTTTAAAATAGGACTCAAAAGAAAATTTTTGCGTTCGAAGAATTATTGTCCGCGACATTGTGACGCGGCCATTTTCGGACTTTTTTAGAAAAAGGTTCTTAAAATTTGTAGAACACATGTTTCTCAAAAAACTCAAAGTGTAGATTGTAGATCTTGGAGAGCTCTATCACCTTTTGCAATTATTACATTTTTTCATCCTTGTTTTCTCTCTGAAAAAGAGCCATGAAAAAGGGAGGGAGGCTTGTCCGCAAATTTTTGGCGGTCACTGTATGAAGGTTCATAGTTTGTGTAGCTGATACTTCACAGAAAATATTCTCTTAAAATTAGTGTATTTGAGTTGTCAACAAAAATGTTTGCAAAGTTCATTTCTGTAATCTTCAGCCAGATTTTTTCCTGAACCAGACAGTATCCAAGGTCTCGGCCAGCCTCGAAATAGAAAAATCCCTTTTTCAAATACGTAAAGGTAGTCAACTTTGTTTCCGAAGAATTGGTTGGTAGTTTACACATCTTATTGTTATGACTGATGACCTGAGTACTTCTGTGGACTTCACCGAACATCTCAAGGCTCAGTTTCTCTGTAGTTGTAAACTCAGTCCTTTTCTGCACACAGGGAACTATCTAAGTTATGTCTAACAAAGAAAGGCATCTTCCTTTCAGCTGCCATTCCACCACAGTCATTAGTTGAATTTCCTGAAGTTTGATAGGAACTTTCAGTTGAGAAGCGGAAATGGTAATGAAAATGTGCGAACATCATGTATTTATTTGCATGGAACACTTACGATATGAACGGATTCTCAGCTTATTCCACTGTAGAGGAAATGTATCACAAAATAACAATTATGTTGTACAGAGGACTGAGCCAAGCTTATGTGATATTCGAAACCAATTTTCAAAAGCGACGAAGACAACGCAGTTGAGTCAGAGTCAGCTCGGGCGCACCATCCGCCACAAACCCTACACCTCAACACATTACAGTCATCTGCCACCAGTGAGATATTTTACTAGCCTCCAATGTAGGACGTCTCAATGGTAAACTACTTACGATTAGCGGGCAGTAACTCGGTTTAGGTGGGACCTGCGGCGCGGACTCTGAGGTAGGTTGGCTTACGTTTAACCTACTTGACCGATACGGTGTGACTAACCTAGATGTTACTGTGATAGTGAAGAAGCAGAACTTTTGAGCATTAGAACACGAATGCAAAGCAGCCATCCCGTTACCGTAAGGATGAGAAGAAAGCAGTATGGCAAGTTTATGTGATGGGCGTCCCCTATCATACGCTTGACTTTATCTGGGGTTACAGCTATTCCGTTTGGCGCACGGATCAAGCTTACTGAATGAAACTGTTAGTAATGGAGAACCTTACCTTAACCCCTGGTACTGGTCCAAGTACTATAAAACTTTGGAACTCGCGAATTTGCACGCCCTCCTTGCGCGGAAGCTACTATAATCTTCTCTGTCTAGTTCCAGTTATAAATGTTTAAGAAAACGTCAGGTAGTCTGTAGGACGGTAGATTATGCAGTCCGTTCGTCAGAGATAACTTACCTCTACTCTGGAGAAGTAGGATTGGAAGAAAAGTATGGAAATAAAGGGAACGATTACGTACACCGCAGAAGAAGGCACTTTATTAAACACAAAAAAAATAGACAAGGATAAACAAAAGGTAACAGCGTTTATTCAGAAGATAAAAATTGGGAGAGGTGAGCGGTAATTTGACAGCATAGAACAACGAAAGAATGAAAAACGTGAAAAGGTGTGGAGATCGTAGAATTTCAGGGATGTGATTTGAAGAACATGTGAATTGTAAATGAAAAAAAAAAACAAACGAAAAACGATTACTAAAAAATTACTTACACCTAAGGAAAGCAATATAAAAAAGGGATAACATGAGGTGATCGGACCAGGCAGGAGTCAAAGACTATCCGCTTCTGCTTCTGGAAGTGCCTGAGGAGCACCAGACCTTCTCGCGCCCTTTTACTTTACAAAAAAAGAATGATACAAAAATCTCCTTGAAGAGTATTTTAGTGTGCAGCAGGTTGGAAATCTTGCACTTCTTTTCAATCACAGCTATAATCAGTTACAGCTTACAGAAATATCGGGTTCAGTACAAATTTTCAAGATTCGTGGCGTAGAAGGAAGTAAGTCTCCCGCGAAATAAGAAACGTGTACTATAAGTATGGCAGTCCTTGTCTTTGATTGAGATGAGGAAGTTTACCAGAATATGTTCAGGATTCCAACTTAAAGATTCATTGGTTAAATTTCAATACCGTATTTCATGTTGAATGGGACTAATCTTCGTAATTTTTTCTAGAAATTACATTTGCTACGGATCTGAAACATAAAATCAGTATCTTCCAATCTACCACGTTCGAAAAGCCTACGAACAATCGGGCCTAGCTCTTATCAAGTAGTCAGAGGCGCGAGAAAGTTATAGAGCTCATCAGGTACGTCCATAAGCGGAAGCAGAGTTGGAACCATCCTGGGATAGTTAACACGTTTCGGACCGCGAAATCACCCGCGGCGAAAAAGAGGGTACTTTTAGCCGTTAGCCAACAAAGGGACCTTAATTCGTACACTGTGTGCTACATCTGTAATCAGCATGTCAGAAAGATCCATACTCAAAGCTCTGAGTGAATTCAAAGTGCTTGAATTCTGTCGCCTGAGAAGAACTTCCGTGCTTTCCACTGAAAGATAGGAACAAGAACTCAGTTCCTAATTGTATCCAAAAGTATCTATGTACACGATACACATCATTATTGGAATTACGGTTTTTCTCTTTGATTTCGAAGCAAAGGAAAGTTGTTCGTCGCACGCGTCGTTCGCGTTGCCGCACTTCATTTCAACTGTTGCTCGAATTGTCCTCATATCTTCTAAAGAAATATCGGCGGCACAGCCTTACAGAGTCATTTGAAAAGAAGGAGGTTAGGCCTTTGGATAACCTTGGACAAGAAGAAAACCTCCTGCAAACACTGAAAAGATCCTTGAAAGGCGCGTGCTGCACCATGTACAGCACCAGTCCGAAACGTGTTAAAAAAGAAATCCTTATGTCAGCAGAGATGCAGACCAAACATCCCAGTACCGCAAGGGTGACAAAAAAAGTTACTGATAGACATCTTCAACTACAGGGCTCCTAAACTGCAGAGTCGTTTGCACCAGCGGTCGCGCGACCGCGTCGCGCCCGGACATCAATGGCGCCGCCTCGATCGATGGCGGCGGCGCCGGCAAAATACACGGGCGCGACGCGCTCGCGCGACCGCTGGTGCAAACGACTCTGCAGTTTGGGAGCCCTGTATATGCTTTGGCTCATGGACTGTCCTTTTGTAGACGGGCTCGAACGGAAAATTGTAATTGTAACGGAGACAAGAAAAGGAGTTTCTCCTAAAGAGTTAGATTATACACTTTTATTTTCGAAAGGCAGTCTCGTTGTATCAGAAGAAAAGTATAGAAATGATAGAACATTTGAAACGATAAAATACACAGCAAAGAAATACTTTACTCATCACACGAGAAGCAACAAGTATTTGAGTATCCAAAAAAGTGGTTAATATCACTAGCTACAATCATGCCCTAATGATCTCATGGAAAACGCAACAATAAGATGTAGAAGATGTACAAGGGCGAACAGTTGCCGAGGATCGAAATATGCATTCAAGATCCGACCTTAATGAGTAAAAATTATGATGACTAGGGTGTCACGGATTGCGCAGCTTTCTAAGTGCTTGCTCAGCTTCTCCAGGATAGGAGTGGTGGCATTTTGTTCTATAGCAAGATAGGCCTCGTTGCTGAGTGACTGCTTGAATGTCAGGCGTAACGTCGCAAACCGAAAGAACAATTGGGTCATTAAGCAAACATAAATGACCCAACGGCGGAGTCACGGATTTCGCGCACACGAACCGAGGAGAATTTGCACATCTGCACACTGAACGTGTCGGGACTCCGCGCACGGGCATCATGGCATAACCCCAATAGGCGGGGATAGAAGACTATATATCGCCGAAAAGAAGTGGTCTGGGCGGAAATCTGCGACAAACATACAGCTTTACACATTACACATACTACAGAATTGTACCAGCTGTCCACGCGGGGTGGAGCCTCGGCGACATATAAGCCTTGTAAAATTCATTGTCCGCGCCTCGCTTAGAATACCAACGCGCGGGTAGGGGACTATATGTTGCCGAAAGTGGGAGGTCCTGCTGACATCTACAACAAGTACACATTCCTGTACATGCACAAGCTGAGTATCAGCTGCTTCCGCGCGGGACTCTCCCAATTTTCGGTGACAAAGTCCTCCACCCCCAACACGCGGACGGCTGGAGACGTAGGGTCCCTGCGGGGTATAGGCAATTTATGGGTGAAAACGAGCGCGCACTTCTTCTAGATCTATTTTTTAAATTTCACTAGACACGCTGGCTGAATTATACTGTGCAACGCTGTGAACAACATGGGCCGTTAGCCGTCTGTAGCGGTCGCTAGCAGCAGCGTGCCAATTCAGCGACGGAAACGATGCCCCGGTGATAATGGGTTCAGGACTTTATGCCGAGGGATAGTTCTCCGTGGACATTCACAATGAGCAGTAAAAAAGTGATTAAGCCATTCCTTCCTGTCACGGGCGGAGGCGCTTCACCACTGAGGACAGAATGGGTAACTTAGCCATAGGTCCGCGAAATGGTGCAAATATGCACTTTGGCCCACTCCCGTCGGAGATGTCTGTGCTTGTAGGTTACAACAGCCTTTGCATAGGTTAGACTTTGACATTTCGCAGTAATAGGCTTAATAGGTCCCTCGGTTAGAAGGCTTAGCTGAAAGTATTACCTGGTTGCGACTGGGAGTCTACTGGTCTTGCGTACGGCGTGAGATCAATCAACAACTGTGCTATTTGGCCTCTGCACTAAAACTCAAATAAACTGAAGCGAAAGGTTTGAAACAAGAGACGAACTGCCATACCAAGGGGCATCGAGTATCTCTGATGTAAGCGTAGAAAAGGCAGAAAGTACAAAATTTATGTCCACAAGGGACTATCCTAAACATTGTAATGTAACCATGGAAGTCGACTCTTTTTTACTTGGTCATGATACTATTTGGAAAAAGATGTCAATTCAACAGATAAGGTTTCGAAGAGTCATCGTTTACCTGACATACGCGAGCAAATGGGAAAGTTGAGAGCAACTTTGACGTGAGGGTAAAGGCTACTGCCGGACAAAGGCCCAAAAGCGGTAAAGTTGAGTGGGGGCGCAAACGCACGTATTTCGACATAAACCCTAGACAGCATGCGCACTGCGTCGATAGGGCCGCACCAGCGGCCCTAAGTTTTGTGCCTTCGTCCGCCAGTAGCCGCATTAGAAGTAATTTTAGCGCACTTGTTATGTTAGCTGAGAATTCTCATTTTCTACGCTCTCTTGCAATGTTTATTGACGGATGAATCATGTTGTAGACGTAGTATGGCTAATTTGTACTAACAACCTACCGAGTGGGTGATCGAAACGCTTCTAAACAAATAGGACATTCATCATCACCTTCGTCATCCATCTCTAAAAGATAAGTTAATGCATGTGCTTTTGACAACAAAAGAGCTCCATCCTCAAAGCAAATTATATACTGTCGAGCGGTCGACAGCACGAGCAGACCATAGACTGCGGAAACTCTAACCAATACGAATCGCTACTGCACAATTCGTGCTCTCGCGACATTTCAGCCGCGCCGAACGTGCTCCGCAGTCTACGGCAAGTCTGTGCAGTCGGCTACCCCACGGCACTCTACCGATATGCGGCGACTAGACTTCAAATGATACTCGAATAGTGAAGGATCAGAAATTCCAAGTCAGTACTTGGGTGCAAACTAAGAATCCCAGTACCGCAAGGGTGACCAAAATACTTACTGATAGAAACTTGGATTGATTAGGATGGAGTGCCTTCTTCTTTATAAGAGTCGGAAAAAGTCCTGCATTAGATAACTTACACTTGAAAAGATAGTTTTTTTCATTGTATCAGAAGAAAAGTATAGAAACGAGGCAACATTCGAAACGATTACATATACTGCAAAAATACTTTATTCTTAACTACATAGAACAATTATCTGAGGTCCAAACAAGCGATAATATCGCTTGCTAACATATCATAAGGTCGATTTTATAGTAATCTGGAAAAAAGAAGAACAAGAATTGAGGCACTCGATAACTTAGCAACATAAAGTCATTTAAAGATTCTGGAAAAAAAGAAAAACAAGGATTGAGGCACTCGATAATTTAGCAACAAAGACAAAAATCGCCAAAAAGAGTGTCCTCAAAAAAAAACCATCATATGCAACACAAGAGAAAAAAACCCACAAAACAAGGCACGTACTTTGAAAGAGATCGAGAGGGATAAATGTTAGGTTGATGCATTACTGAGGTTTGATATCTCCAAAACTGACGATCTCAAAGATTTTTCTTGTGAACAAGTAAGGTAAATCTATCTTCGAAATAATGCCCAAGCTTTGATCTCTTTCTCATAGAAGCGAGCAATTTGTATGAGTGCTTTCTTCACATAAGTTTTGTAGAGACTAGGATTCTACGGCAGTCGCTAGACTTCATTTTTTGATTTCCAACAGCGTGGAGAACACAAGCCAATTACTAACTTTTACCCAAATGGTTTTGATGTTTTCAGGTATAGGTAGCAGCGATTTTCATGCTTTTAGTTCAGACCAACGCTTTTGTAAAAAAAAAACCTTCACTTGATAGAAATAGTGACTGGCCTAGATCCATAGAAAAACACAAGAAAAGAGCTTCAGTCGGCTACGAGCGACACTAACCGAAAGTCGATTTTCTGGAAAAGAGTTTCAAAGGCATTGCTCCCGCATCAGCCTAAAATCTGGCGCTCTCGATCTCTTTCGGCAAAGTAGACTTCAACGGCGTGCAGGGCTATCTCAATGCGAGCAAACAAAACTTCCGGATCAAACGATACATTCTGGATGATTCTTGGGGCATTATTAACATTTTGGACGGTCCTTGGAGCATTGCCATTATTACCAGCATCTGCCTGCCCATTTTGCTGTCCATTTCTGTCCATTTCATTTCGTTCTGCAAAGAGTACCCCATGATATTGTGATATAGAATTATGATTACTTTAGGCTCTCACAAAATGCTGAGCCTTCCAAGTACTTGTTGTACATCATAAAGGCGCGTCCCAGCCAAGACAGGGCTGTGGAATTTGTTTTCATATTACACAACTTCCTAAGCCTCCTAATCAAGTCTCTGTCCGCATGCGACCCGTAACCAAACAAAAAGAACGACTACCACATACGGTCGGCTTCATCGCGGAAGACGGAACATTCTACATGGAGCAGCGCGTGCGCACCACTGAAGGCTTCGCGAGCGCGTAGCGTTGGCATTTTGCCAAGCTAAGATTAAGAAGAATGAAAAGACGCAGACTTGGGTTCTTGGCACGATATGGTGTACTGTAGCTGCAACGGCGGGAACCGTTGCGAGGCGGACGCCCGCCATTTCCAATTTCCGCCTAAAATGGGTCGAAACTTGCTGTAACATTTGATTCAACTGGCTTGGCACCATTAGGGCGGGTTTTGTGATCTAATTGAGGCCGCTCGCGGCCGCGACGCACCTCCGCCTCTCTCGCGCGAGTGCTCTCTGATCATTACCTAGCCTTAATTAGTTCACGAAGCCCCGCCTTTGCCGATGCCAAGTCAGTTGAAACAAATGATATATGGCACGGATGCCACGAGTCAATGATAGTTTCTGCACGGACCACAGGATTTGCACAATCTGCACACATTGTGCGTGTCTACGAGCACAAGACGTTGGTCACTGGGTTAGTGTTTGGATATGCGCCAGTCATTTTTTTTTCGCTTACGGCTCTCAACATGACTACGAACATCTGCAGTGGCCTTAGGAGAGCTTGTAGTCGAGGACATTTCCGCTTAGAATAGTGTTTCTGCGGTGCCGAGATGGTGCGGTAAAATTTACGCGTTGACGAGTAGCTACTCCTGTAATGCCGGCCATTTGCGGGCGCAATTTACCGGTATTACCGAATTTTCTCGGCACTGCAGCACCACTATATCAAGCACTACTCTGTTGTACCTTTGGTACTGAATCTAATTCCAAACTGCATCGGCCATTTCTTCCGCGTCTCGACTGCGGTTGCTAACCGATCTGGCAATTTGCTAGACGTCTACAAATCCACGAGAATATGCTTACGCGCATAAATTTCGTAAGCCAACAAACATGCCAAATGCTGCTTTCACAAAGTGCTTTACCAACATGTATGAACAACAGCAAAAAGCCAAATCGCATTCTTGCTTGACTAAAGGTGCGTATCTGGTCGGCAACATATCTCGACAACAGGTCCTGCACTGAGTGGATGTCTATATGGCGCCGAAAGGGGTTGCTCCCGCGCGGACACTTGCGACTAGACAATACAGATTCGTACCAGCCATCCGCGCGGGGTGGAGCCTATCGGCGACATATAGTCCCCTACCCGGTGCGTGGTTGCAGCCGGGACTCTCCCTCCCCTCCCCCCCCCCCCCGCCCCTTCGAGTCGACATGTAGTCCGTACGTCCGTGCCTCCACTACTCGCAAAGGAGAGGTAAGCGCAGACACGCGCCCTGTCGCGAATTGCTGCACATGTGCACATAGAAGCGAAACGCATGGTCCAACTTACCCCGCTTACGATGGAAATGTCTATACTTGTCCGTCAGACCTCGCCTTTAATACACTTTACTTTTTCTCAGCAAAAGGCTGATTAATCCGTCTCGTTGAAAGCAATACCTTGGTAGGTCAGGAATTCTTCAATCGTTTGTCTGCACATGGTGATATCCGCCACAATCCGTACCATAGCTCCTCTGCACTAACTCAAAAAATGAAGCTAGAGTTTTGAGACGGCAAGTTGTCCCACCATTGGACAGATGGGATTGCGTCGATAAGAATAGTAGAGACAAATTCCACAGAAAGTGTGGCCACAAGGAATCATCCTAAACAGTGAGGGGTCAGGATGGAACTCGGCTCTTTCCCGGCTCGGCTCGAACAACGATAACGTGAAGGTGAAAAATGGTGCGAAAAAAACGTGGTGCGCACGTTATGTTCACTCAGGGCGCATTCCTAGTGTCTTCAAAATGCTGCCCATTTTACATGCTTTCTTGTAATATTCAATGACAGAAAACTATCGTTGTAGATATAATATTTCTCTCAAACTCGTACTAATAACTTACGTCAGTGGAATCGTGCGGGATACCTCCAGACAAATCGGACATTCATCAGCTTGATCGTTATCCATGCTGAAAGCAAGGTATATGTACAGTCGAATTGTCGACGGCAAGAACTGAGCGTAGATTGCGGAGCATGTCCGGCGCCGCAAAACGGTTGTACATATCGTATAAATCGCTATTGCAGAATTCATGCTCTAGTGACATATAGATGCTCCGCACGTGCTCCACAATCTACGCCTAGTCCGTGCGGTCAACGACTCGACAATAGTCGACCAATACGCAGCGAATAGACTTCAAATGTTGTTCAAATTGTGTAAAAAGAAATCCTTATGTCAGTAGAGATGTAGACCAATCATCCCATTACCGCAAGGGTGACAAAAGTTACTGATAAACGTCTTTAACTATACTGTTTGCTTTGGCTCATGGACTGATCTTTTGTAGACAGGCTCAAACGGAAAACTGTAACGGAGACCAGGAGAGTGTATCTATAAGAGTTAGATTATGCATATTTGTTTTCAAAAGGTAGTCTCATTGTATCAGAAGGAAAGTATAGAAATGATAGAACATTCGAAACGATTAAACACAGAGAAAAGAAATCTTTACTCATTACACACGAGAAGCAACAAGTATTTGAGTACCCAAACAAGTGATAATAATATCACTTGCTACAATCATAATCGATATGGATTCGAGAAAGACAATGAATAGAGATGAAGTGGATGATTACAATAAGTAGAGATGAAGTGGATGATTGACAACGAAGCACAACCACGATAAATTTGATTGGAAACGAGTGTGCGAGTAGGTGGACGTTTGTACTGCCATAAGCTCGAACCTCTTCTCAAATGTGGTGTGCATGTGCCTGACTTCTCTTACTCTGTAAAAGCTCGAAATTTAAAGAAAGCATATTGCGTGTGTGTTCTAAGCATATCGACCCATAGGCTAGGTCGCGCATAAGCGATATTCACTCTGGGACCACGGGTTCTTATCGCGTAAGCTGCGACTTACGCTACCGTTCATCGAGCTTAGCCACTGCTTTTAGTTTATCGTAAAAGCCACTTACTCTTATAAGCGCAGTGCTTCGGGCATGTGAGGACCTGGCGTCCGTCGCTAGGCTTTTTCATGATCCTCTGACAGTCAGGACATTTCGAAGCCGAAAGGAATGTCAGAGCGTTCTTTTTGCAGTGGACCTTCAAAAATATTGAACAAGAACCTGGGTGGACATCGTTGGGCTCACCTCCACATCAAATTTACGGCCTTCGAAAAAACGACTGATGAGTTCCAGATCTTTCTCTAAATAAAGGAGCTGACTATATCAAAATCTACAGGTGGTAAAGCAGACGGATACCTAGGGTGTACTCCTTAGCGGCAAGTTTAGCGCCTATACCCGAAGTCGAAGGAAAGTCGTAGCATTCGTGGTCACTAAGTTCTTCTTCCTCGAATTCTTGGAATACGAACGCCTTGGGCTTCTGTCGTTCAAGCTTCTGTAGCTCAGCTAGCTTTGCTCCTTTCTTGTGATGTACGTTCTTCTCCTCAGCCGTCTGCACAAGCTTGAATGTCTTCTTGTTTTTCTTATGTCTTCCCATTTTCCTAAAATGCAGTAGAATATTGGGAAATGTTACAGTATCCGCCTCTCTGAATAAGCGTCTTACTAATATAGAAGGACGAACTGACCTTGAGTGAGATTCTTTACAGTAGTAGATTGTGGTGAGTGATATGAGTTGTTGCTAACGCGCAATTACCCAGTTATCTCTGAAAAACAGAAAATTAGCAACTTCAAACCAAAACCTCAAAAGCCAATGAGTGAAAATGACAACCGCGCCGGATTGAGTTGGCTGCGTCTCTGGCTTCACTCTGCTTCGCTGTGCCAACGCCTTACCTGTATGGACATGTTAAGTCAAGGGATGATACATGCGCGTCTCGAACTGCAAACTTCTCGAATCTTCTGACCTCTATCGATTGCCACGAGGCCGACTTGATATGAATGAACAGTTCTCAGTGCTTTCTCCCTGCTTTTTCTCTCTTCAGTGCAAAATTTTTCGTCTCAGCATCTTTCACGCACTAGCCTGCGGGCATCTAGCATTACTGTTCTACTATTTAACATCTTCATTTTAAAGTGTTTCAGAGCTCAAAGGGCCTTGCCCTTTGAGCTCTGAAACACTTTAAAATGAAGATGTTAAGTAGTAGAACATTTGTTACGCAGTCACTTAGTTGTCCTCGTCCTTGTCTCTGTATAGAAGTGACAGTTTACTGTCATCTGCCCACTTCCTTGTATACCTGACAGCTATCACTCTATACAGCCGGGTGATCCTGAAGGCAATAAAAGCATTTATTCTATTTATTCATTATACTTATTGTTACCTAGGGACACGCAGTGTTGCTCGTCAGTTTTGGAGTTGATGTCCGCATTCAAAGGTGTCTCTAGGAATTTAAAAGCACGAAAAAGAATGAATACGAAGCAAGAAATCGGAAGTGCGTAAGAGCTTTTTAAGAAAGAAGAAATACGATGTATAGCAGAGCACCCAAGCTTTAGCTACTAGTGAGAACTACAACGCCCTTTTGACCGCAAACGAGGAAAATTCTCCGGAAACCTCGGGAAAAGAAGATACACCTACCCCCAAGAATTCCGCAATGATAAATGTACAGATAGCTGCTACCAATGTGAATAATAACATCATTCACGATAATGGTGGAAGATGAGGAAATCCTTGCAGACATAAATATCATTCCATTCTACGGTTTTGTAAGATTATTTCTAAGCTTAACAATCCTCGAAATTCATTTTCCCTTTTTGGTTGTGTCCACTTAGACGCATTCTATCGCGGTCGAGATTAAATGTAAGAGCTATTACAAGCATGACAGATATGAATTAGTTTCTTTTTTTCAGCTACCCGGACGTGAGAATTTTCTTGAGCGAATAGAACGTCGAAAAAACTTAACCCTTTCTTTTCCAGCCTCTTCATCTTCGGTTTCGTACACTGCGAAAGCAGCTAACGAAGACCCAACCGCATTCCGCAAGCGAGGCGAAGCATTGACACTGACGAGACAGAAATAGTACATAGATTCACGAGAGAAAGCTGTAATACGTTGGAAGATGTTGTCTCTTTTGAATAAGTGGCAATATCCTTTGTTACTTTGAATAAAAATTCTTCTGTTTTTCTATGTGGTGAACTAGCTTGCAGTTTGCCAGCTAGTTTGCAGCCAGTGATTGTCTGATATGAAAATGCTTACCAGGTCGTTTTAGAAAAGTGTAAACCAAAAGTAACGGTTGAAATGCGATATTGCAGTAACATTAGATTATCTACTCTGGAAACCCTTACGGAGTTCAAATTTCGATGTTAATTTACCGGCATGAATGGTGCAAAGCTGTGTTGACGCTTCTTTTGCATCTCTGACGTCAAAGGTTGACGACCAAAATTGGAAACACTATTATTTTAGTTTATCCTAATAATTGCAAAAAGCCGCCTAATTGCCATCGCTCGAATTGTTAAAAAGGTCCCCACTGCCGCATTACGGCCCTCGTCCCTTTTTGCCGTCGTACGGTATGCGACGGCAAAAAGAGACGCCAACGCCCTCTTTTTCCAACGGGCCAATGGCAAAGCGCATTAACGCGTTGGAGAAAGAGGGCGTTGTTACCGTAATCTTCCGCGCGATATGATGACCGGCGGAGAGGGGAGACGGGGGGGGGGGGGATACTGAAGTCTGATGCTACAGGGTGTCCCAAAAAGATGTGCACACTGTTTGATCGTTAATAACTCTCCTGCTTTCATTTCTTTTGCCGAGCTTGAGGCGCCTTTCCGTAGATCGACGTTCAACTTAGAACAGTGAGGAGCGAATGGTCGATTGTTCTTTATTACCGCAAGATTACGGTAGAAACTTCGAGGAAGATTTTAAGCCATTGAAAGCAGTTTTTTGCCGGTTTTTGCCTCAGAAAGAAAACCAAACAAGCCAAAAACTATTGTACTGGACTAGTCGAAGTCGTTGACTCTAAATATGAATTTTGCACTTCAGTAAAGTGCTTCTTTCATAAGTTATTTCATATTTAGGGTAACATTTGTTTTTCCAATGTTCGTCAGAAATGTGAATACGCCATCAAAAAAGCTCGAAAAACTCATGAAAACTCATGTAGTGAAATCAGCGCGCTTGAAGGCCTTGCCACACAAATTTTCAGATTTTTTGAAATTATTTCGTCAAAATACCTATTCCACAGTAACGCTGTATGCTGAAAGTTCATACCGTGATCCTACAATAACGAAGAGTGATTGGTGATTCGCTCCATACTGTAAATCTAAGTTGGACCTAGCTCTACAGTATGGTGCTTCAAGCTTGGCAAAAGACAAGAAAGAGACTTACTAACGATCAAACAGTGTGCACAACTTTTTGGGACACTCTGTATAAGGCAAATTTCATTGGGTACATTTATTAATGTGTTTTGATATACTGCAGTAATACAGCAGTATCTTTTCAGTAACAGTAAGTTTACAAATAAGCCGTTGTTGGAAGGCGTCTCTGCAGTGGGTATGGATTTACTTACTTCTGAATTAACTGCAGATTTTGTGATATATCCATACATTAGAAGAGCATCAACGCTTTAGATTGCCGTTTATTGGAATATGCTAGATGAGAACATCTATGAAATTGCACATTGTAAACATATAGTTAGCTGTGTTCGAAACTCTGGATTAAGAAAGAATATTTTGGTTTATTATTGGAAGACCTACGAAAAACCCGATAAGGAACAACTTAAGGAACAGAACAACAACAACAATAACGTGAATACATCTGAGTATAATAAATTTTGTTGCTGCAAATAAATTAACCGAAATACAATCAAGTTGATAGGGTTCTATCATTGCTATTATTTTGTTCTGTTGTATTGTTCTTGCTGTGGGGTTTTTCATAGGATCTTCGTATGCAGTAATAGAAAATAAAATAAGTAATCGAAAGTCGAGTTGGTTTTGATATGTTCGAGTAGGCATAGCTTTATCATATCGAAAGTATTGAGTATTTCAGACATGTCACTGACTTATGACTTCGCACCTGGGCCTCAACTAATGAGGAAAAGGCGAAGGCCGCCGAATGTACTCGTGAAATCTCGAATTTACAAACAGAAACCGAAAATGGGTTCAGTACCTCGTCCAGAAGATTTGGGGGTGGAACATTCTACGATTATCTTATTGAAGTAGCTCAAACTGGAAAATCGCCGACAACTTAGGAGAAGATGCAAGCGGCATTCTGTGACTTTTTCAAAGTGATACTTGCTGCAGATGAATTTCTGAACTTCTCCTTTTTTAACATATTCTTGGGGATGCCATATACGATATCGAGGCGAGTTTCGGAAGCACAACCCGTGCAGAAAGCTGTTTGATTGAGGGAAGCGAGGGTATGCGTATCTTCGACTTCGTGCTGGAAAAGATGAAGAATTTCAAGAATTTTCCTTTTACTTTTCGCAGGTATGAGAAGGTCATTTTCAGGCCTGAAAATTTTCGGCTGATTTGGTCAAACAGTGGTTTATCGACAGCCAAGTTTTGCTCTGCATTACCGGCTGTCATCGCGAGTGACACTATTGAACTCACTAGTGAACCAGTAATCTAAAGGTGCTGTTTGGGAAAGCGTTGCTTCGGGACCCCGCGCGGTTTACCGCAATTTGCACATTTTTGAATTGATATAACGATTTTTTATATATTAGACAATTATAATGTCACCATGGAAGTCGACTCTTTTACCTAGTTATGATACTATTTTTGAAAGAGAAGCCAACTCAACAGATAAGGTTTCGGAGAGGCATCGCTTGCCTGAGACAAT